CCTTTTGGCTGAGGGCCACAATAAGACCCATGGAGCTAATGAGGCATTTAGACACTGTGTCACACTTCAGGTATATGAGAGGCCCTGTGCCAACAGGCCAAGTCAAACACGGGGCTGCGGGCACAGTGCAGTCGATGACAGGGCCAAGACAGCATCTGCCATCATTACAGGCCCATTAAAAAGTTTCACAGGGTTCAGCTGCCCTCCTTCATGAAGAGGCTCTCTGCCACGAGGACTTTGTTCTTGGGCGACAATAACACTAATTACCACTGCTGTCGTGTTTGGTGTAAAGAAGAAGATGGCATTCAGATTTTTGTTTGGTTTTTGTGAGTTCATGTTTGCAAATCAAACAAGTTGATACAATGAAGAAAAAATCGGCTTGAAAATTGAAATCACTGATTTTCTTTGTTATTTGACAAGGTTACTTGGAATGTGTGGCTGTTTCATGCCGAAATGTGGCTGTTTTTGATAAATAAGTTGCAAATGTCTAGGTGTATTTGTGCAGCTGTTTCTGATACTTGGAAGTGTAATGGGATGTTTCAAATTCTAGTCTCAAAAATGCTAATTTGCAAAGACTCTCCCCAGCATCTGTTCACATCTGACCTTCTTCCAACTCCTCTTCCTCCTCTCCAGACAGTGTCGAAGATGAGCTTGAACTATCTGCAGTCCGCCATCGCCCAGAGGGCCTGGAACAGCTTGAAGCCCAGACACGTTTCTCCCGCAAGGAGCTACAGATCCTTTACCGCGGCTTCAAGAACGTAAGTGATGAGGCCACCATGCAGCCTCAGCACTATACATAATGTACACCTCAGTAGGCTTCTTTCTTGGACATCTCTCTCTCTCTTTTGGACATCAAAAAAACATGTTTCCTTTTGATTTCATTTGATTTATTCTTTTTTTTTTAATATTTTAAAGTTTGCAGGGGTGTTAAAGTTTCTACAGCTCCACTTCCTTCCTAAAATAATAATAAAGCATCTGTGGAATGCTATTTTGCTGAATCATCTACATTTTGCACTAAATGTTATCATGTCCAATTGTGCTTACCACAGAAAATTGAAATTTCTGTACATCGTGCCAAGGATAATTAGGTCATATCTTGCACACACTGTGGAAGATTACTGATGAGCAATCAGGTCAGAGTCCTCCAGAGCAGCCCATATGAAACTACCTCACTTCATTGTCACCTCTGGTGTGAGGCGTAATGAGATGACCCAGAATTAACTCAACCCAAATTGTCTGGCAATGAAAGAGAGGACGATAGCGAGAGTCCTGTGATAGTGAAATTCCCATGGGGCTTCAGTTTCCTGTTGAGCCTGCACTATGCTCCAGCCAAGTCCCTGCAAAGCCTGCCCATTAGTCCGCTTCCACTTGAGACAGAGAAAGAGGTAAGAAGTGTACTAATGAGGCCTTTAATTTGTGCCACACACTCTACCGAACTTCCTCTGACGCCGAGGGAGAGAATATTGCATATGTTTATAGACACCCTTCCAGTTTTTTTTCACATTACAGATTTTACTTTGTATTTTTAGCCACACTAGAAATGGCAATGTCGGTCGGTCAGTTGGTCGGTCCACCACTTTGGTCCAGCCTGAAATATCTCATGAAGTATGGGATGGATTGCAATTAAATTATACCTACCACTAAAATATCTCAATATTTTCAAGATGGAAAGGCACAACATTTTAGACAGACATGTCCTCCCAGACAACCTATCCTAAAAGTTAAGGGTGATCCCCTCAGTTATCCTCTACGGTCACCACGAGGTTGACATTTGAGTAAAATGTCTGAACAACGATTGGTTGGTACGCTATGAAACTGGGTGTAGATATTCAGGATGAAAATGTAGTAACTTGGTGGCCCTTGTGATTTTAGCGCCACCATCAGGTCAGAATTTTGTCCAATCGTTTTAATGACCAAATAAAAAAATGACAATTCTTTCAGCTTCAGCTGTTGCTTTTAACACACATTACAGTTATTTTATGTGCTAAGGATAAACCTCCTTTTCATTTTCATTCAGAGTTAATCATTACTGCTGTGTAATTAAACAGAGTTTGTGGCCTAAGTCCAAATTTGACAAAGAGAAAAAGTCATGGAATTTAAATTACAGCTACTAAACAGCTTTTGTCCATCACTGAGTCCATAGAGTAGCTCATTTTTAGCTGCCAGGGTCAAACAGCTCATCTCTATCGTGCTCCAACTTGGTGACATTGGCAAAATAAATGCGAGCTTTTAAGGCCAGCCAGTAATAGAAGCTGGCATCATTCCCAAGATGAGAAATCTGGCCCTTTGTCCTTGACGTCCAGGGTTTCGAAGCAAATCAAATGCCTTTAATGCAGGTGGCAGGCTGAGGTCGTCTTTCTTAACAACAAACTTGTCGTTCACTTGTAGTGCAGGTGGTCAAAGTGGAGCTTTGCCTTAGATTCAGCAATATGTCTTGCAGGGACCAAAACAAGACCTCTGGCTCTGGGTCTGGCTCTTAAGGTGGAATTTGAGCAAAGGTCACCTTAAAGGTATGAGAGAATCCATTGTTTCATAAATCCCTTGACCCCAAATTACTGGAAATAACACTATATTGTCCTCACGTCTGGCTTAATCTGCTGGGCTTTCACAGTTCGCAGTCAGGGGCATTGCCTCAGGCATTAGATTAGGATCTCACAGTTCTCTTCCATCAGCGACGATGCCTCTGTTCACAGGTTTATTTCATTCCCCACACTGCTTATTGCCGCATCGCTTCACCGGCCTCGGAAAGGAATTTCACAGATTGTATTTCTGATTTTATTATCATGGATGAGCAAATTCTACAAGCATATCAAATGAATACAAATACATTTTCTGACCTCTTACTCTGTCTAATGGGATTGGCACTGAGTAATGTGTAAAATGAAACAACATGCAAGAGCAAGTGGAAAATGACACCCTCATTTTTTATCATTATACATAACATGCTTCTTATATTAGTCTATCTATTCTTCTCCTATTATTTCAGTTTTGATTTGGAGGTGGATGAGGGAATATACAGATAGGAAAAACTCCAATAAAAGATTGGAGATGACAGGTAAAAAATAAACAATTATAAATGCATCTTCACAAATTCCATTAACATCCATGTTCCCTGAGATGCCTAGGAAAATTCCTCCTCTCAGTGCTGAACTGATGCAGAGAAAAATGCATTGCAAGAAAACAGCTTTCCCAAAAGCAGTGTGTGAATGAGGTCCCGACTTTTAGCTTAGCGACATCAAAGTTTATCCTGACGGGACCTTAAGGCAGTTCGGGCATCAAGTGAGTGTAACTATTTCACTGAACTTTAAATTGAATTGCAGAGGCACTGTGTTGTACGTGATAATAACTAGATAACACACTGGCTTCATTCTCAATTGGAAAAACCGCCTCCCTCGCTACTGTCACCATGAGGCTGAACAGAGACGATAAAATATGTTCAGATGAATTCTGCCGTCAGTGTGAGACTCAATTCAACAATCACAAAGTTTTGTTGACCTTCATTTTGCTTCAGGTTTGTGAGGAGTTAGCGAGGAAGAAGTAGAAGCTGACTTAGAACACAGCCATTCGTAGATTACTGTCACACTTAATCAGTGCGTTATTACTGTTGACAGCTATAATTGCACATCCGTGTACAGACACACACACACACAGAGGCGTGCACAGACTCTACAGGCGAGGTGAAATTACATGTTTTAAAAATCCCCCCCTCACTTTAAGTACTTAATTACATGACATTTCTTTGCACTACTTCAACAAAAGGTTGACTGTTGACAGCCAATTTACTGCACTGTTGCGGAACATAAACAATGCTCTAATTAACGGAAGCTCTTCTAAGCAACAAAGAAATACTGCCTGAATCAAATGTACAATGATGCTGTGGAGCAACTTTGCTTTAAGAGTGGAAATGTTTCGTGTTCAAGGTGTTCTACCAACATGAACGTCTCCGCTGTCTTTGTTTCACAAACTAGTATACTCAAAATAAAATTTGGGGAAATACTCTTATTCACTTTCTTGCCAGGACTTGAATGAAAAGATCGATGTAGGAAGCTACAGCCAAGAGAAGGTTACCCTAGTTAGCTTGTCATGGGAGTCACCATACCCAGCCAAGAAATATTACAACACAAACCCCTTAAAGCCAGGACATGTTGTTTTTACACCTCGGTTTCTGTGTGGATTAAACTTATTAGATACTGTGTTAATTAGTGAGCATTAAGAGGTGCTGGTAGGCTGGTTTTTCCCCCTTCATGTTCATCTAGCGCCATCATCAGGTTGATTTTTTGTATCAAATACCTGTAGAACTATTGGCATTCCCATGAGCTTTAGCTGTACCTTGTGTATAGTGCGAATTAGCAAATAGTAGCATGCTAACACAATAAAAATGGGGAACGAGGGTAATTAGTAAATGTTGCATGGTTACATAATGATCATTGTACCAAGAAAACATCAACATATTAGCATTGTCACTGTGAGTTTATTAGCATGCAGACTCTTGGTCTTGGTTTACCATCAGGCGAAGCCAGACTAGCTGTTTCCCCCTGCTTCCAGTCTGTATGCTAAGCTAACTGTTATACATTTTAATGCAAAGACATGTATCTTTCTTCTCTTCTCACCTAACTCTCGGAAAGACAGCAAATGAGTGAATTTCTCAAACTATTCCTTTAAAATTTGCACCTGCTCTTTTTTTCCCTACAATGATATTCCTCAAAAAGGTCAAATCAAGAATTTCAAACCGCTTGAATCGTTTTCTCATCCTTGCTACAATCTCCAATATAATTCTAGTGCTGTTTAGTCCGTCCACTGTGTAGAGCAGTTTTCTACATGATACATCATTTGGATTTATATACCAGTTTAACGTGAACAGCACAACACACTCCACAAACTCACAGACTTCATTAAATCAGGTCTGAGACTGCAGAAGTATAATTTCAAGACAGATTTGTGCTCATTCTGTCTCCCTAACTTCCCCCAAATCCTTGACCTCATCTCACCCCACAAGATATGTAACTGGGTCTGTGAGACTACAGATCAAGAGTGTCTGGGGACTCATGCAGACAACCTTGCAGCATCCGTTTGGCTTGAAACACAAGGAGCCTGTTTGAAGCAAAACAAAAAGGTTTCATCTTCATTTTTTCACACCCACAGCTCTGTTTCCCCAAAGTGGCTGATCAGACATGGTCACAGTAAGGAGGAAACCCAGTGTACCCTGTGATTCTCACATCCCATAGACATGGAGGAAATAACTGAGTGGATAAAACACTCTTACTTAGTTTAGTTAGACTGTTTTAAATGTAATTTTCAGATAAAGGTATTGACGTGCATAGATATATTTTCAATTTTTTTATTTTCTAGCTGTCTGATTTATGTTTACACTGTATCAGAGAGGTGTTCATGTTATTGCATCCACCCCATGTACAATCTGTTCCTTATCTTTGATTTCCTACAACAACCTCCATTGTGGCCATGGTTTATTTATTTCTATAGAAAACCCAGAGACGCATGTGCCCTCGGCTTGGAAATCATCTATATAGCCGGAGCATTTCATCTGTTCCAAAGCTTCAATATCCTGCCAGAGTGTGCAGCCTCGCACCAAGCAGAAATTGAACCTGTGAAACTAGCTGCATTTATCACTAAGCTGCTCTGAATAAGGTCATCCACCAAGTCTTTGGTTGGCCCTTTTCTTATAAAGGAGACAAAAGCATCCTTCTTGGAAGGTGTTATGTAAGAGTATTCAGCCTTTTCCCACTGAATGCTACCAGACAACCACAGGTGGGTGACTTTGAATGGCTGTGGAAAATGTATTATTTATTAATTGAAGTTAGAGAGTAACTTGACATCAAACTGAAATACAGTTTTTCGCTGCCCTCTCTGGTTGAAAATTTCAGGGCAGTTGCACCTTTAGCCGCATCCAAAATGATATCACGGTGTACTTAACACACCCAGGAGTACACTCCTACATCACTGAAGCAAGGTAACAGGTTTAATCACTTGAGGTCAACATTAACAACATTTTCAGCTGCTGTTAAGTTGATCTGGCAAGAAAATATTTATTTAAAAAAAGAAAAACTAAGGTAATGTTTGGCCACACTAGAACTGGGTGACCTCTAAAAAGAATGTCTGATATGTTTTTTCATGAATAAGAGGAAATAAACTATTTAAAAATTCTTAACATTGCATCTGCTTCTTCCCAGAATCTATGAATATGCAAGTATTGTTTTTAAATGTTTCCTTCTACACTGAAAATTTATTTTTCAGTGAAGTGAACTGGAGGTTTCAGGTTTTAGTCATACTTATTTAAGCTGTATATGGGATCATGATTGGCATGTTTTAAACTCAGATTTAAGGCAAGGACTTTAATACAGGAGGAAGTATTTAATATAGATGCTGAGTGACCTGTGCAAATCCATTTTGTTTTCCAGGAATGCCCCAGTGGAGTCGTCAACGAAGAAACTTTTAAAGACATCTACTCGCAGTTCTTTCCACAAGGAGGTTTGTACCATGCTCTTATTCAGAAGGAGCCCACTGCTTTGTATTTGCAGCTTGCCTTGCCTCTCACAGCTGTCTCTTACCTTCTCTGTGCGCTGGAACGACACAAATTCTTTTACAATTTCACAAAAAAACAATTCCAGAGTACTTTAAGTTAAATTTCCATCCAAGAAAATGTAAGAGAAAAAAGGGAGAGAGGGAGAGGGAGAGGGAGAAAATATGCAGCTTGGGGTTGGTTGTTGTTGGCTCTCATCATTATGCAAAGATGCTACCCGAGGAACAAGAGAGAAAACATTAGGAGGCTTTGATATATCTGTTCAGAGAGAAGAAAGGCAGACCAGTAAAATAATGGCTCACCACACAGGAAACAATGATAAAACTCTTAGCTCTAAGCATATTGTTCTTCTCTTATCATAAAAGAAGAAAAAAACAATTTGAGGAACATTTTACTTTGAAGTTGTTCAAAAGCTACAAAACTTTCCCTTGAACCATTTTTTGTTTGCAGTAGATGTTTCTAATTGAGTTGTGATCACTGCAGACCCTTTTTTGATTCCACGCCTGTTTGTTCTCTCCATAGATGCTTCAACATATGCACATTTCCTCTTCAATGCATTTGACACAGATCACAATGGCTCTGTGAGTTTTGAGGTAAGTTGTTGGTGTTCTATTCCTACTGTTGCAAAGTATCAGATACATGGCTACATGTGCTTTTCCCATTGCTACAAGATAACACCTACGTAAAGAAATGTATCTTCATCTCAGTAACTAGTACACTGTGTATGCTAGGAATGTTAACCATTTCAAATAAAGGCAAACCTTGTTCATTTGCTATAAAATTCTATCAAACTAGGCACAAGGCATTACACTGGAGCATTATGTAACCACCAACCCCAATAATTTTAATTTAGCCCAAGCAAGTCTGCTTGAGTTGCTATCAACTCATGATTAATATTTATGAAGGGCATATATTTGCTTATTAGGACAGTAAAAGCTGTCATTATGCCAAACCACAGTTTCACTGGCTAATGTGCAGTCCATTCTGTTCAAAAGTAAAGGGATTCCCGGGGGGCCGACACAGATTATGAGTTGGTTAATAATTTGAATAACGAGAGATTTTAGATTTTTTGTTTGTGCTCTTGCTGTTTCATCATTTCTTTCTATTTAATACCTGACATAATATCCTTGTAGAAACGATGTATGAAATACTACCTACATTTACATGTGCACAGTGAATACTTGATGTTTTTGTTGATGTCAAAGGTTTTCAAGTACTTGCTGTTTACAAAAAGCTTGTTTTTAAATCTATTTTGTATAATTCTCAGTAAATCTTGTTTTCACGGCAGGATTTTGTTATGGGCCTTTCTATCCTCCTGCGAGGTACAATCCAGGAAAAACTCAACTGGGCTTTCAACCTGTATGATATTAATAAAGATGGATATATCACTAAAGAGGTATGTCCATTTAAACTGTGACAACGGTGAAATGAGCCAATAACTGAGATACCCATTATCCACCTTTCATATGAACTAGATCTCAAGGCTCACATTGTTAAGTGATTGTCAGTATTGCTGAAAGTACGTCGCCATGCAGGTTTTGTTTAAAATAATCGACAATTTGTGTAGACGTGTGTGACAGGTGTAATGTTAACCATGTTCAACATCTCAGAATCAGAACACATAAAATGAATATGACTCCGGTTTTATGTTGCTCTCAATGTACAAACACAGAATGAACATAAATAAACAAGACTTACCAAAATAGACATAAACTACGATGTATAGTTTAGCATATTAGCATGCTTAAATTTGCTAATTAGCACTAAAGGCTCGCACTCCTATAAAAGTGAATAAACAATGACCTGATGAATATAATATAATAATTATAATTATAATATAATATAATATGCAAAATAAGGGGATCACCAAAGTTATTACAACAACATCTTGAGGGAGATAGTGAGGCTGCCAAATGTAATTGAAATCCATCCAATAGTTGTGAAGACATTTCTCTCAAAACCACAAATGTGAGCCTCATGGTGGTGCTAGAGGGAATGTCATGGGGACTATTTCTTTCAGTGGAAAGTAGTTTCAATAAAACACGCCAACACTGCTATTCTCAGCTTTCCAAATGTCATTTTTTAAATCTTTGAACACCATTAATAAAATTCCATTCAGCACAATTATATTGGAGTATCAGCAGAAATACCTAAAAGTGATAGACCAAAATCTCAAAATGACCTGCATAGCTTCCCATTTTCCAATGTTTTTTGTTTTTGTAATTTGGGTGAACTGACCCTTTTTCCGCATGTCATAGGAAATGCTAGACATCATGAAGGCCATCTACGACATGATGGGAAAATGCACATACCCTGTTCTCAAAGAGGAGACGCCTCGTCAGCACGTAGAAGTATTCTTTCAGGCAAGTGTGTGGTTGGCAGCATTCACTGTGCTGCGACTGTCAGTCACAGCGATGAGGCTTTAGAAACTTTCCCTATATTTGTTTTTCATCTTTCCTTCCCTCTGTCTCCAACAGAAGATGGATAAAAATAAAGATGGAGTGGTAACCATAGACGAGTTCATCGACTGCTGCCAAAATGTAAGCTGGATATCCCGACACATCTCTTTCCCTTACTGTTGGCACACTTTGCATTTTCTCATTACATTGTTTTCTTTTGTGCGCAGGATGAAAACATCATGCGATCAATGCACCTCTTTGAAAATGTTCTTTAACTTTTGGCTGACAGTGGAAGGCTTTGGAAGAGAACACCATCTTAAGCTTGGCCCAATAACTGACTTGGACTCATACTGTGTACAGTGTGCTATGCAGACTTTTGACCATAGATAAAATATTGTTCATTACTGTGGGCCACGAGTAGGAGTAGGCAATATGGTGCGGACACTCTGGAATTAATTGCCTGTTGAGCATTTTATTGAAGAAGTAGAATTGTATTACTTAAAAAAAACAAATAGAAAGGAGAGGAAAAAACAAGGTTTTTGAAGCTATAGTTTGACTTTTCAAAATGAAAAACATCCTTACTTCAAGGTTGATTTCCGCCACTTGTTTCTGGAGTGTCTCTCTATTTGCTGAACACTGAGTTCAGCAAAGTGTGATAGCCTCCAACATTATAAAGACAGACATTTCCGATGAAGGGGTTTAGACCGGTTCCTTCCGTCTCTGTTGCAGCCTTGACTTTTATTTACTGCCAGGTGAAACCACTGTGACTTTTTACAACTGAACAAAATATCTGACGTCTCTGTTTTGACATTCCAGACCGGCTTTCAATTCCAGAGTGTTCGTACCCCGACTTAGTTAACCATTGTGGTCTGTCTTTTTGCTCTAAAGGAAGCATTTAGAGAAAAACAACAAATCCATTGTATCATTTTAAATTGTACATACTATAGATAAAGCATTAGATAAGAACTCTATGAGAAACTTTTCAACTTTGTTCATGTTTACTTGCCAACTAGAATGAGACAACACAAGGATTGTATTGATGTCAAAATCGGACCATAATATCGATGATTTGTCTACAGAAGCACACAGGTAGCTATATTTACCATGAGTATAACATTAGATGACGATATCTTTGACATAAGATAAATGCTGCTTTCGGTGTATTTCATTTAACCCTGTGTATGTATGTTCCCTGTAAAGTAAACCTATCTATCAATATGTTTTTGTTTTTGTTTTTGCAGCACTGTTTAGGAGTTTACACTAAGAACAGTACTGGAGGTTATTTATCTGGTATTATGGTCATTGTACAAAAAGATTATCAGTTGTACAGTATTAAATGAAAGTTTGCTCTTGGGTGAATTACAGATCTTTAGATTTGTCCATATAATTCACTGTTTTTAATCAGAAAGGGCAGTGGGGGTTTGGATATGGATAAAAACACTAACTTTGTACTATACTAATCATTTTTGGGTTGTTGGCTAATATGCTTCCCGCTGTTTTCCTCCTCCTCTTCCTCCTCCTGGTCCTGTGGGCTAAAGTCTGGCTGCCCACACCTATTCAGCCTGATTGGTTCCTGCTGTCTGTGATTAAAGCATTGCTTGGCCCCAAATGTGAGCAAAGACAAGGCATGCTGGGTAGAAGTCTCACTCACTGATTTCCTCTTGCTCGTTGGAAACTACTGGATCACTGAGAGAAGTGTCTGGACATTATGTAAGTAAGTTAAGAGTGTTGCAATATGACTTGTTCTTGTTTTTATCAATGACTTGGATATTGGATACAGGAAGTATCCATCAAACCAGCTGTATACTTGACAAGTGGCTGTTTGCTGAATATTTTGCAGCATTTGACAGTTTATCATGTTGTTTTTCATTCATGCAGTCTGTCAGTGCACTGCGTTACTGGCAGTCGCAATCACAAAGACAAAAATCTCCTCAGTGAGGCATGTTACTTATCTATTCATTAAGTAAAGAAAGTGGCACATTTTTCTCAGTTGTATTCTTTCTGCTCATATTATTGAAGGTAATGTGTATATTTCCCCCATGAAATGCATCAAACCTGCCATTTTTCCCTTAATTTGTGTGCCTTAATGTAAAATGTTATATGTAACTTTGGTTGACAACTCAAGTTTTTATTCTTAGGAATATGGTTATGAACTGATGAAATGGGGGGGGGGAAACTACATTTTTGCAAAATTACCCAATTTTAAATATATCTACAATAGATCCCAGTGGATGTAAAAAAAAATAATAATAATCAAGGCATTTCTACATTTCTTGTGTAAATAATATCCAAAGCTACAAAGTCTATGACAAAAGTGACAAAAATAAACAGTACAAAAAGCTTACAAATGTGTGTTAAATGGACTTAATACACATTAAAGTCTGTAGAATACTATATGTTTGCATATGATTATCAAAACCACGTCAGGGCACTGTAATGTTGTCATTTAGAAAAAATGATTTAGTTCAGAACAATTGAAATTTTATCTTTACAAATGTTACACGATGTATTACAATATTGGTGCATGTTTAAATTAATATGATTGACATAAAACGCTTCATGGGTTTCAGCAGCTGCAGAGACAAACTGGTTGTATAGAATATATTTCTATCCATATTCGATATAGTCATCTGCTGCCCCCTCATGGTGGAAACAGGATAACACACACTAGGACAAAATTACTTTTTGCCACCTTGACGAGATCAAAGATCATGAAAGAAGAAAATTAATATTGTTTACTGTGTGTATATTGATTTTAGTATTTATTTGTACTTCAGTCTTGTGTAACGGTTATCCTAAAGTGAATATTGGATATTATGACAGAAGATGACCACACTGCAGCAGACTGAATATGTAAATCTTGATTAGTGCTACCTTAGATACACAGTCACTATAGTTGTCTGGTTTGCAATAAATGATCTATTACATAAGTATTAATAACTAATAAGGAGTTTACATTAAATATATTTTCTTCCAAAGGAAAATCACATTTAAATATCACTTTGTTTGATTTATTTTCTGTACTCTGTAAAGCTAAATAAATTGACCAACAATAGTTATGTCAAGAATTTAATTCAGGCATTTGTTGAAGGTGTGGGATAAATGACACATGGCACACCGAACCTATGGATTCCAAAAGTATACTCAAAATACATCCGTTAATCTTTCCAGTTAAATTGAAATCACTTCTTCCAACTTAAAATAGTAAGGTACTCAAATTACCTGAGATAAGTTTGCATACAAACCAAAAAGATTGAAATCAGCCATAAACCTCTAGGACATATATATATATATATATTTTAACATATTTTTTAACAGCTATTATATCAACTTAAGGCAGATGGTAATATTTTGGGAACACAAGTTGTGTATTTCATGTACAAAAAGACTTTTTGTAGGCCACACATACACACAATTGTACAAATGCATACATGAATTATACAGAAGCAATTACTTTAACAAAAACAAGCAATGCATTACAGCATGATGCGTTTACTGCGCTGACACTCAAGACTGAAATGTTACATGTCATTGACAACAAGATTTGACACAATTTGGGTTGAACGGTGAGCTTCTTTTACACTTAAAGAATTTTACGACACTTTTGGCACAAACCTGATTTTGTAAAAAAAAAAAAAAAATCATTAAGAACAGATAATTTTTCCCCTTGGACTGTTTTGTGGCAGTTTTAGAAAAAAAGCATTACATTTGGTCCCTGATCTTTTTCCTTTTGATGCCTCTCTGCATTGTCCGCGGCCTTTTCCTCTTACTAATTACAAATTAAAATAAGTCTCAAGCAACCCTTTTTAGCTCCAATTGTGACTCGTTCAGTATAGAAAAGAAATAAATTTACATCGGGACATTAGTTGGTCCTTGTTCCTCTATGTGGAGCAACAGCTGTGTTCATTTCAAATTTATGTAAGGATGCCAAAACAAAACGTTTTCTGCGTCACTGCGCACTGTGAAGATCAAATCTCTGCTATAAATGGTCAAAGAATCAGATTTTTTTTGTTGGGGGACGTGTGTGAATCGAATGCTTTGAATCACTCATTGTGTAATGACAGGAATAATTCTCAGTTCTGGCAGCAGAGGCTTTTATTTTGGCATTGTTTCTGCTAAACTATAAAGTACCTGGTACTGTGGATACACTATTAAAATGGTTTTTTTTTTACTACATTTGCCACTAAGACAGCAAAAGTGTGATAAAACGTAGAAATGTCTATAAGTTGTTTAAATACTGTAAAATGTATCTGAACTTTATTTAAAAAGAAATTAAGATTTTAAAATTAGTTACAGGAGAAAGTCAAGACTGGCGAATTTTCTTTTTAAAGTGAACGTCTACAGTATTGCCCACAAATAACCCCTTGTCTTGACACTAAATCAACAAAGTGAAATGAAGAAACACTTGACTCAATTGACTGCGCAGTGGAGATCTATGTTGTATTGCTTATGCCAATAGGCTTTATGCCAAAATGCGTTCCAGCCTGAGGCGCTGATGTCATTCCGGTCTCCACAGTCCATCACACACAAGTATCTGTGCGGGAAATTGCTGGATGTGTTGTCCATTTCATTTCTCCAGTTTTACTTGGAAGTTCCTCAAGTGGACAAGTGGTTATTTGAAGGTCATACTGTGTGTATACTAAAGCGTGTTGGAAAGGCAGCTTTGGACTCTCAAGGTTAAATCTCAAAAGGCTCTCCCTGGTTCCTCCTTTCTTCCTCTGTCTTTGTAAAACGCTTAAAGTTCCTTTCTGTGGACCATCCTGAAGAATTCAAATGGAGCCAACTGAGACTGACCCTGTAAGATCTGTGCGTGGTCCGTTAGATGCCCTGTTTCTCCCAGGCTGGTTGGGAAGGGGGACACTGAGGCCGGCCGTTCAGGGGGGTTAAGTGAGCAGCTGCCTGATCTCTCGGTGAACGTAGCAAAGGAAGTCCATGTAGGAAGCTCCGCCGTGCAGGCCTTTATCCTCCACCAGGAACTGACGGAACAACAACTCCGGTTTGTCCTTCTGTCTCACGATTTGGAGCTGAGAGGGGAAAAAAAGTTAACAAATGTGATTTGGTTCCTGTCCAAATGCAGGTTACTGACCATTGATGTATTGGCATGTGACTAATGGTTGTTAAGGTATGTATAACATGTTTCACATCCATGTAAACCTCTCTCGTTTGTTTGGTTTGTATGTGTTTTTGTTTCATTTGAAGGATTGGGATTGATTTAGAGTAATAAATGTTATTCTAACTAATTTGTCCCCTGTAAATGAGTACAGTTATATCATACAGTTTCTTGCCTATCCATTTTGACACTGATATAATTTGCATTCTTGAGCTGTAGTTTATTAGCTGGTTTAAGCAACATGACAAAAAATATTAAATGAGGCTGTTGTAGCAGTTGTGGGGGAACACATTTGCTTACTTGTTTGCCCCACTAGAGGGAGGCAGAGATCATTAAAAGCTGCAAGGCAGTTAGCTTAGTTTGTTCTCCCCTATTGTTTTCTCTGGTACTAATGAATTTGGTTTTAAACTAAAGATTTTGGGAGTATGCCGCTGCTCTAGATATCTTACTTTCATGGAGTTCGGCCTCTTTTCAAGCAGGCCACTGATGATGGATCGGATCTTCTTTGACAATGGGTTGTCCAGTTCTGGCAGAGCACACTGAAAAACACAATTAGAAGGTTGGTTAAGTCTAAAATAAGAGTTTACAAAGTCACTGGCACTATTTCAACACTATACAATATATTATACTTGGAGGTGTAAAAGAACATTGATCCAGCATGATGTATTGATTTGAGGAACAGCCTTGATTGATTGAGCTGAGATCAATTGAAAACAGACTACTTTGACACATTTCTGCTCTGTTTCCTTCTCTTATGTACCAGTACCATGTGTTGTTTGAGCTCTGCTTTGAAAATAAATGTGCATCTTTGAACTTTGTGTGAGATTTATGTGTTTAATTACAGCATTCAGTTTAGCTCATTTTACAGGCTAAACTGGTCTACTATTTGGATGTATCAAATTATTCGTACTGGATCAAATCGTGGTCAGATGTAAGGTTTTATTACGAGTTCAATCTCTGAGTTGAGTTATGAAGTGTCTCGAAAGTGGATTTGTAATTCCGAGGCGTACTGCCTAACTAAACACCCAGACATTCTCTTACTGTACTGTAATGCCTCCAGGCACAACAGATATCTCCTTTTACATCTCTAAAAAACAGATAGTGTTTCATTTGGTTTCTAAATATGTTTAGGTCAAAGTGCTATTATTCTGACCATGTGTCCTTGCAGGTGGGCGAGGGAAGGCAGGTTAAGGATGTTCTGGATGAGGTCTGGCGGGCTCGCTTGGCCCAGCCACAAAAACATGGAGTGGCCGTTCTCCAGCAGGAACAGGCCAGAGTCCGTCAGACGCTCCTCTGAACAGCGCAGTGGAGTAGGCAGGGCCTCGCTGCTGACGTCCGTGTTGTGCTGAAAGAAATGACACATTTATTAGATTACAACGCTGTCTGACATTTCCCTCCAAGATGTGAGCGCTAACAAAGAACTTGTGACCATAATTCATTAGATTTTAAACACAGAAGGTAAATATACTCTTCTATATGCCTTAATGTACTATATAAACCACTCAAAGATTCAAAATGTCTGAGTGGATTTATCTCACCAGTGAAAAAAGGAAGTATGAAGGACAGTGAGTGTCCTAAAAAAGTTTCTGTACACTCAGTGTGTGAGTTTGTCCCCTACCAGTGGGATGAGGCGTGGGTAGAGCAGCAGCTGTGTGTCCTCCACCCCCATGCCCATGACCGACAGCCTTTGATGGGCCCTGTCGTCTGTTGAGAGCTCTGTGCTGCCAACCAAGGGAGCAGTTTTCATGAGGCTGTTCATGTAGACTGGGAACACCTTCATGGCATCAGGCAGGATCAGCTACATATGGATACAGGCATAAAAAGTCAGCGTGATAAAAATCTGTAGTTACAGACACAATCAATCCAAATCAAGGAGTTCTTTGTATCGTAAAATCAAATCTTAAATTCAACCAATTATAATCCAGGTGTTGTCCTGAGCTGACCTGGCTGGCTGCGGAGGGGCTGGCACAGTTCTTTCTGTAGCAGGCCAGCATGTGGGCTGTCTGGTTGACCAGGATCTCCCTCACATTCTTTAGAGGCTGGTTCAATATGGCACGGTAAGCTGAGTGGGCATGAGAAAAGTTCGGTTAAAAGACAAGGAGAGGGGGCTAACTGGCAGCTACGGATAAGCAGGGGAGTAAAACAGGATAAAGGATGAAAGATGAAAAAAAAGAAAAAAGAAATCCAGCAGGGGGGGGAGAAAGAGCGCACAAGGGAGCTAAAGAGTAGCAGGACCAATGAAAGAAGGTAACTAAAGGTCAGTAATACAGCTGTACTTAAGGCTCATCTGTATTTTATGTGAAACGTGGCCCCCTGATTCCCACAACTCATTCTTCTTTTACCCATAAGTCTTAGTAGATTATCAAGTGATGCATGGGGTAAATTCAACAAAGGTCAGGATGATACCACAGCACATCAACAGTCTACATCTGCATTTCATTACATCCCCAAAGGAAAGAGTGCCGACTGTATGGAGTGACTCCCTCCTGAAATAAAGAGCTGCTCAATGCATCATGGGAGGAAACATACATATTTTTTGCATTTGCCTATGGTGTGACAATATCTTAAATGAGGGCAGTCACCTGATTTAGCAAAGAAGTTGATGAGCGAGTCAGTCTCGCAGCTCTTGTACAGCTCCGATAACTGCAAGCTGCAGTTCAGACTGAGGTTATGGATGCGGAGCCGTCGCTCTCCGTTGATGGTGGTGTACAGCAATGCACACTGGGAAATGGGTTGCAAACAACAGTTATATGAAGCCATAGAGATTTGATTCCTTCTGGCAAACCAAAACCAGTTGCAAATAAGGCACATTTCTAAAACATATACCTGCATGAGTGCCCCAGTCTCCTCACTGAGCGTATCATCGTGCTTCAACTCTACGGTCACCGCCTTCTCGCAATCCACAGCCGCCATCTCTATATCTGTGGTGTTGTTCATGTGGATGGCTCCAAAGAAGTCTGTGGCTCTGAAGCCTAAGACATTTTTTAATTACTGAGTGGCATATCCTTGTTGTACTGTACATGGGTAGTCTTGGGTAAGTCTTTCACTATTCCTCACCTGTACTGGTACGAACGCGCATGATGGCGTCAAATCCGATGTTCTTCTGCACATCTTTCCTCAGGTCCCTCAGGAAATGCTCCCCGTCGGTCTCCACCTGGCAACATCGAGTACATTCAAGTCAGAAGCAAATATTTTATCTGTTTAAGCTCTAACCAGAAGATGGCAGTGTTGCCACAATTTGGTGCCATGCCAGTGATGAGCAAAAAAACGGGGCTCATAAATGTAACTTAACACAAATAGTTTAGTCTAATACCAAAAAAGGTGATTTACTGAAATGTCAGTTTGGGCAAAACTACAAAATAAATGAACACTAAATAAGATTATGTATTGTAGCTCCTGGTGGCAGATAATGTTATCAGTTTAAAGCCTGCATTTTACAGTTATTTATGAAGCTTTTCAGTGTATGTGTGTTAAACTGCATTGTATTGCCTCTGTATGTGGTATGTTTGTACAGTTTGGAGCAATTTCCCATGCTTGTTGCACTATTCCTAAGGGACTAGTCCATAATAGACACTGGGTACTGTGCCAGAGTCATTATGTGGATACAACTAGCTTTTATTAGGCTGTTAAATTTTGACTCCTCAGTCTAATAAAAAAGAAATAAAAAAACTGCCATATTGTCAATATCCTTTATGTGTCTGCATGCAGCATCTCGCGTACTGAGAAAGCTAACATGTACTGTAAAAAGGTGTGCCTGTTGAATGCTGTACCTGGAAGTTGTTGTATTTGTAGACGGAGCCTCCAGTGTGCGAAGGCACATCAGCCATGGTTGCCAAGTCAATGTACTGGCTGGGGAAGAGGAAGAGATCCACACAGCAGCCCTGCGCCACACAGTCCTTAGACAGCTGTTCATACACTCCTTTCTGAGGCTGGAACAAGGTCTGAGGAAACAATAAAGAATAAATTGATTGGGTGCAAATCCTGTTTACATTATTTTTTGTTGTAATATGTTACATGTTGTAAATATCTACTGCCAGTGCTTACTGTGAGTAAATTAAGCCCTGGCCTGCACTGTGCTATTGTGTGAATAAGCTGTACAATAGTTCACTCAAAAGTTCACTCATCATAAAAGGCTACTCACTTTCTCTTTCTCTGTGTTGACCAGCTTCTTGTCATCCCTGTTCTTCAGCTTGCCAGGAGCCTCAGCAGTGGGCATGGAGGAGTGGAAGATGAAGAGCTTTCCACTACATTCTGCTGCCTGGAGGGGAGAGAATGATGAGAGAGAGAGAGAGTGATAAGATCTGCAAAAGAAAGGTCATTAAGGTGTGTAGCGTGCTCCTTCCTGACAAGTTGCTCATAGCTTTACAATGAAATCTCATGAGGTCACAAGGTGCAAACTCCCACTCCTGCAAAGGATCAAATTCTTCTCTTAATAATAATAATAATACACTTTATTTACAGAGTTCTCCCCTGTGTGGCAAAATAAACTGATAAAGAGAAGTTAAAGATGTAAGCAATACCCAAAATGAAAATATGAACATGAACGTTGTAATGTCACAACTGCTTCCAATTAAAAGCTGTGTGTGAACTTTTTTCCTTTACTGTGCGCCAGAAGACTGACCTCATATCACTGGGAAAGTTTGTTGGACTTTAAAGTAAACACAAACATATCAGGAAGAGAAAAAAAGAAACTGTTGAGTTGATAGGTTGAATGAGTTCAGACGTCAATACCACAGTCAGGGTGAGCAATGCCTCTGAAATATTTTGACAAACTGAAACAATCTTGTGGGTGCAGAGCAGTTCAAATCGATTGCCCCTTTTTAAAAAGAGTTATGTGTTTTGGCTGCACTACATTCTATTGGAATCTATGAGTATAGTGCTGAAAATTCAAAGAGACCAGCGTGTTAGATTGAGAAACACTGCTGCTAATCAAATGTAGCTTGTCATAAAGGAAGCTTCCAATTGTGCTAATGACGTTAGAACAGTCTACATCGAAGCCTGTAGCAGCCGCACATGACTGAGGGAGCTTGCAGTAGGCCTCTAATCTCCCACTTTATGTTGAGGGATGTCACACTGTGGCTAACCTTGAATGCCTCCACGCCAGCCTGGATGACAGGGGCAAAGACCGTTTCACTCTCGTTGGTGTCTGCAAACATGTCAGGGATCTGGTCCAGGAGGCTAGAGTGGAGAGAGAGAGGGGATAAGTGCTTGGTCGTTTTAAGTAAAAAGCTGACTATTGACTCAGTGTTTTGTCTATCATGCTTTTGTTTTTTACTTTGTTGAAATATTTGATTGAAGCCACGTTAACCTCCATAACATATTAAATAGTATTCTGTCCAGTGATATGAAGACAAACTAACATTTATTTTGTTTCTCTCAATTAAACTTCACATAATTCTTGAGGACAGCATGCATAATTCTCTGTCTACTGCATGGGGCATCCCATCCAATCCAATCCAATCCAATCAAGATAAACAGTTTGTCCACTAATTAAGGAAAAGCTGTATCTTACTTGGAGATAACGGCCCTCGATTCCTGGTAGTTGACAAGGAAGCCATCAAGCAGCGGGACAAACATCTCAGCTGTGTCTGAAACCACCATCATCTGGGGCTGAGCCAGAGCGCTCTTCACATTGTAGAAGTGAAGGATCTTGTTGTAGGTGACAAAGCCGACCTTAATCGCAGAGCTCTCCGCACCTTCCTCTCTGGTGAGGAAAAACAAGCATTAGTTCATTCCAGGATGTTTTGGAGTAAGTCTGTTGAAAAGATATTAACAATGGCTGCATGTGTACCGTGTGTACCATTTTCTTTAAGATGTTAAAGCTAAGTTTGTGCTTTCTGTAAGGTTTACAAGAATCTACTGTCATTGGTGAGATCTCACTGCTTTCAGGACCTTTTCGGTCTCTACTAGCATCATAACGCCCCTGTTCTATTAAACAGTAAAGCATAGACGATGTTACTTAATCATGAAATTGGGAGTTTTCTAGTGCAAATCTGGTTTATCTTTGTGATGTGCCATTTCTCCACCATGTCAAATTGTATTAACATTCATCCAGGAGTGGAATAACATCCAACATGGGCTTGTTTATTAATGTTTAAGCCAACGTCCTAAGTGGTGATCCAAAGAGAAAGGAAGGAGATTGCTTCAGGTTTATCCAAGTTAATGTTGGTTGTAGTTGTTGGAAAAAACAACTGTACCCATTTACTTGTGAGTCATGCCTGCTAGTTTTTTCTTTGTCTTTTTCTCAGGATTACAGTCAACTTGCTTCCAGATTCACACTGTTAAAAAAGACACTTTGTTTTACATGTTCGTTTTTTCCTAATCATTTCCTAGGAATCTTTCTGCAAAGACCTTTGTAAATTGGTATCATTACTACTACTATTATTACTTATAGGGAAAACATTACTTTCCCTGATAGAACTATTTAAACCAAAATAAATATAGATGTATTATTATTTTTTATTTGAAAATGGTATGGTTGCCTACAGGCAAATTTCCCATTTTTACAGTTTCAGCAAACTGGTTGTGCTCTAAAAGAAATTATATATTAAACAAGCAAATAATTTGAATTAGTTAATTGGAGGTGTAACAATTGAGGCCCTTGTCTGTTCCCCTTTAATTAGCACCAATTCCCAAATAATTTCCTGGAAAATGTTTTTTGCCTTTAGTAGAAAAATAATGCCAATGCCATTGCCAATAAAGACATGATGAATTCCAATCCAACTTTTCACCATGATAGTAATTTAAAAGCATTCTTTACTGACACTGCCAACTGCAGTTTGTAGGTCTCTCTTTTTAAATCATGTAATGTGTCTTAAAACACTTACTGCAAACCCCCTTGAAGTAAATAAGCCTTCGGTCAGCTATGAGCCCACAGCTCTATGAACATTAGTCACAGGTGCTGTTACACATAACAGATTCAGAGTGGATGAGTTTATTTTGTTCTTTCTCATACCAGACAGTGATGATAAAAAATGCCTATGCCTACATCTGCCTTTACTTAAACTGGGCTCTAGCTTTATCTTGAGTGAATTAAACATGCATCTGGCAAATACTGCAGAATTACATGAACTATATAAAAATGCAGGGTGTCCAAGCGCTTTCATCTAGTGGCTGTAAAAACAAAAGTAAAAATTCAAACACAGCTGAAGAGGGGAGCTTATCTGGAGTATACTTCTACTAAGTGTTTTAAGGATGATGTCATGGCAGCAGACAAATATTGATATATTGCTGCTGGCACTAATGAGGTGGAGCAAGGAAAAGAAAGTTATTTTAGGAGCAAACAGATTGAAGTACGCCATCCTCTTCTCTGAGATAAATCAAAAACTCACTTTCAGAGTCATGCTTACCACAGAACCAGACATGTCTGTATAACAAAGCTTTTTGTTTTGTTTTTGTTTTGGGTGCCTTTCTGAGATGAGAGCCTGCACTATAATATTTTCCATTTTTGGCAGCCTTGGCACCCTCCCTAACTGATACCCACCATCTGCAAAACTTCATGCAAGAGCATTCAGCTGATGAGAACAAATAGTTGGCTTGGTGTTTAAGACATGAGGGTAGTCCTTTTTTGGCAAAGCATATGTTAAGCATATTAGCAGATGATACATATTATATTCCTCGCCTTCTTTCTGAATTATTGCGCGTACCTGGGCAGATTCTCCAGAAGAGTCTTCAGCTCATCACATATCAGTCTGACCAGTCCACTTTTAATGTTGTTGTACGACACGTCAATCATAAAAATGTAGGCAGGAGGGTTTGGGCGCTTGTTGTTCTGCATGGAAAGAAGGCAGCAGGTGAAATGGATTACTTAGTGGTTACTCTTTTAAAATCTTTCATGGCTAGCTTGACAGGCATGTAGCAAAATATACATAATTTCAAAAGAAAAATGTTCTGTGCGCAAACTTGAAGCTCTTGAATAACCTAGTTATAAGCAAACAAATGATTCCTCTTTTCAGTCTTGTATCCCATAATTTAAGGCCTTAATCATAGCATATAAAGCGAGGCCTGGGGTCTACCGTTATGCCTTCTACCTCACATTTCTGTTATTAGTTTTTAAAATACTACAGATGTTTTCATTTGTGCTTGCTTATAACTTGGGGTAGCTGTGAAGAGACCATGACAGTTATGAATTCCTGAATGGAGCGCAATGGAGTGAGTGTGAGGGGGACTGTCGGTAAAGACATTGTTATGTTTCCACAGTTACAACCCATGACAAGACACACACCTTGCAGGATTTTGTTTAATAGCTGGCCCACAGAGGCTGTTTATGAGTCCTAATAAACAAAGCAAAAGTAGGCCAGTGGAGTGACTCAGCTTTGCCAGCTTTTACTGTGCCCCTCTGATGTTGTTCTCAACAGCCACAGCCTCCATGGGGACATGCAGCTGACTGGTATCGCTGTCTTTTCAGTGTTTGGAAAAGAACTAAGCTGAATACTGAGAAGCATCCACTTTCAGTTAAGTGACAAGTCTTTAGTGACACTCTCTAGGTTAAATCATCTATGCGTTGACTCTGCTTTACACCAGCAAACAATCCAAGTGTTTGACTCTATTGATTAACCTAATCCACTCTGCATAATGTGTATTGAATAACAGCCGAAAGATCTTTTGTAGTTGTTCTATACCTTGCAGTATTCCATGGTGGCTATGAACTCATAGGACCCCAGGGATAGCTCAGGTCTCTCGTAGAGGTCCACCCTCCGGCCCATGTGATCAAGATGTTGGAAATAGAACACTGGCACTACGATGAGACAAAGAAATACAATTTAAAAAAAGAACTGTGCACAATATATTCATAGTTTTATTCATAGAACCTGTTTTCTTTTCCTTTAAAATAAATTAATTTCCTTTTTGATTGAAAAAGTTGGTGTAATGCATCTTTTTCTGGCTGCTTAACATATTTAGGATGATATAGATTTATTTAGCATTGTTGCATTGCTGTACCTTCATTGACACAGTTGCAGAAACCACACTGGTAGCGACGACCTCCATCAATAAACTGCATGTAGGGACACATGTAGGCCTTGCATCGATTGCAGCGGATTGGGCCTGTCTCACCATGGTTCACAACATATAGAGGAGTCTACACAGGGACACACACAAAAAGACATTATGGTCAAGTTTTCAGCAGCTCTCCCCAAATAAAATCAGGTGCTTATCTCAAAGAAACTCTCATAACTGTTCTATAAAAGGACATCGATGACTGTAACAGCTGTAAAATCAATCAATCAAAATAAATGCTTCAGTGTGTACAGAAAAGCACATCTAATACACAATGTGAGGATAATGGTTTATTTCTTTCAATCTAGAATAATTTTAAGTGCCTATTTACTGTACTTTCACCAAACTCTTGCACATACTGTACCGATTCCATGGCACCCAAACAACACACATTGCACTTTCATATACAGAACATTTGTCTGTCGTAGATGAAGCTGTTTAATATACATACCACAGCACTGTTACTGTGTATTATATGCAGGCCTGCAGATAATAGAGACTTGTCTTTACACTATCTATTTAAGGCTCCGTGCAGGCTTTGACACAACATTAATTTAACCATAAAACACATACAGACAAGGCAGCACACAGGTTTATTATTAGATTGGAGACTTCAAGGTGCGGAGTAAAAAGGTTTACATTATCTGAGGGCTGTTTACCCAGTGCCTATTGCATGACAAGACAATGGATACAGCATCCAAGCACAACAGCATGCTCTTCTGAGTTATGAACAAACTCAGAGCAAGTTTTACTATTTGGGTGGAATTGTAGTGTTATAATGCCCCGTGTTGCACATGATGGACTCAAATGTGAGAGTGCAACGCACTCAAGTTTGATTCCTTTTGTATAAACCTCCTTTCTTCTTCAGTGGTCCCTGCAGATCTGACATGAGCTAATTAGTCTAAAGTCAGATGAGAGAAAGCTAACATTGCCTAAAAAGGCCAATTGGTGCCTGGGACAAGGCGAGTGGAAGGGGAAAATATCTAAGGCAGGATTCTTGGACCACATATGATCCAACAGGAGGTCATTCACAGGACAAATTAACATTTGTAGTACACAGACACGTCTATAAAGAAGTACATTTGGTGGTTGCACATTTTACTGCCCCAAATTGACTTTTATTAAATAAAAAAATCTCTATTTAAAAATAAAAACAGGTAAATGCCACATGCCTCAATTAAGGCCATAACTACGTAAGAACTGCTATAACAGCTGGATTCTCAATATATTAAAAAAATTGTGAGACTCAAATGGAAGAACGAAATGCAATAATTGGTGTCCCTACTGCAGAAAAACATGAGTCATAAGTGTTGTTGTTTTTGAAATGACACGGTGCACTCTAAGGATAGAAATGCTTTGTTGTGGGACGAATGTTTTAGCATGCAATGTTTCAAATATAGATTATAGTTTAGGCCGACCCAAGAAGATGGTTTTGTATTGTAAGATTATCTTTGCTTTCAAGAGTCTGCATGGATTTATCTTGGTTGGTTTATTTTAGCAGATGATTATGTATTGTTAATATTATTTGAACCTTTGCTTTTAGATAAGACAATTGACTTTAAGTTATATGTAAAACCATGACTTACCTCATTCTTTGGCAAAGTGGCAAAAGGTTTAATGATGGTAGCCAGGGGGACTTGGCACTGTTTGGCCAGATCCGCGGTGCAAGGTAGGGAGTAGGTGGTGCAGCGCATGAACCTGGGACTGGCATTGCCTGGGATTAACAAAATGAAAATGACCACTCTCTTACAAAGAAGTGTGAACTAATTCTGTTTAATTTGGCATTACCAGAAATTAATTTAAAAATTACACATTTCCAGGAAATATCTACAATTTGAGCAAAAAAGCTATCAATTATAAAGGACATAACACAAATTACTGAACCTGATGTGGTCAACATGAACAAGTATTCTCTATTCGTGTATACATATTGTAGCAAAAACGTGTTTAAAAAAGTTTTAATCTTCTTTAAAAACAGAAAATTAAATGAAATCAAATTAATTAATTAATAATTGGATGCTCACTTGCAGTTGCTAACAGAGAAGTTTAAATGTAATTATGATTTACCTTGGTCCTGTACTGTGAAGTCAGTGGTGACCAGAGGTGGAACCTGTCCTCTGACGTTTGTGCTGTAGATCTGCCCCCCATGTTTTACTTGGTCGTCCTCAATGACTTGGGTCTAAAGCAGACAAGTTATTCATTACAGTACAATCTGATTCATGTTCATAGTTGTTAGGTAGATACCAAGTTTTTAAACACAGATAGTTCATCAATAGTGACAGCTTAACTACATGGCAAGCAAATAGTGCAATGTTCACCGAATTTATGTTTGTATTTGCTTGATTATATTCCCAAATGTGAGGACAAATATCTCCTACCATTTTTCTGTAATCCTAATTTGCATATAATTAATAAAGTACTTCAAAAGAGATGCTGTACCAGACACCTTTTATAGAATTAATAAGGGACTGTTTCAGGACAGAAAATGTGGAATGACACATGTGGTGTGTGAAGGTATGCAGTCCCAGGAGGATTAGTTGTCTACTCACTGTGCTGGGGATAGAGTCAGGGTCCAGTTTCTTCTGAGGTGGTCCCGCCAGTCCACCTGGTGCTCCGGGGAAAGCCCCTGGCATACCTGTCTGGGGCCCTGCCATTTGTCCCCCAAACTGGCCTGAACATTAAAAGAGGACATACTAGCTATTAAATGGTATTTATTTGCTACAGTGTAAAGCACACACACGTTGTTGAGACTGAAGTTCTGATCAAACTGCTCCAATACTAGCAATGAGAATATGTTGTTTTTTCATGTTTATAAAAAGGATAAATACTGATTCTCTTGCCAGACTCTTCTGTTTTACAGAACTATTCAACAAAAAAATATTTTCTCTGACACAAAGCAAACTCAGAGGAGAATCAAGCATCAAAGACACACTACATAAAAAGATGAAACTGTGTATGGTTAAACTCTTTACTGTGTTGTGGTTTAAAATATTTTTTAATTACTTGCTGTAATGAATTAATAAGCTAATGACCATGTATCAGTGGCAATTCCAGTGAGTAAAAAAGCTGTAATATCCCTCTCATAATACTTCTTTTGACTGGCTTTTTTCTGGTTACAGTGTCACAGTTACCTCCTTGCTGTGGGTATCCTGGTGGACCAGCAGCTCCGGGACCAAGCTGCTGGAATCCTCCAGGGCCTGAAGGTGGCCCCGGAAAGGGTCTTCCCATGCCTGCCATCGGGGGGCCTGCCATCGGAGGGCCTGCCATCTGAGAGCCTGCCATCGGAGGGCCTGCCATCGGCGGGCCTGCCATTGGCATGGTTGCTGGGGGTGACTGTGGTGGAGACATCTGGGGGGACATGTGGGGTGACTGCATGCCTGGAGGCATCTGCGGCTGGCCCATTGCTGGAGGAGGGGATGTTTGGAAAGGCTGCTGGGCTACAGAGTTTGTTGGAGGAGGAGGGCTCTGCATGGGACCTGGGGCTGGACAATTAAGAAATGAAATTAAGAAATATAATCTAGTGACTACGTTTAGGCTGTACTTTTTCTAATCCCTGTCTCATCCCTTTTACTGAAATACCATAATCATTTAAACCAATTATTTGGCTGCTATGATGTGTAACATGTATGAATGAGTAAATTGCAAACTTACCATAGTTGCCCAAGTTCATAGCACCCATCTGATTAGTGAGCTGCTGCGCTGGAGGCGGGGCAGCAGAGCCCATGCTGTTGTATGGGGCCTGTAGAGGTTGTCCATAAGCAGCAGAAGCGGCTGGTGGAGCAGGATATCTGAGGAATATAAGCAAGAACTGTAATTAATATACAGCACATACAGTGTGGTCTCATGATGTGCTTAGTACTTGAAGATCTGTTGTGTCTAACCCTTGCTGATTGAAATATGTATTTTACCTAAAACTAAGAAAAAGTAATAGTGGCCTGCTATGACTCATTGTCTGTAGACTTCTTTGTTCATGTACTGCAATACTTGCACATTCATAATATCGTTATGTTGATTACAGAGATAAAATTAGCCGTGCCAAACAGTTGCTGTTTAGTAAAGATTGTTACCTTTGTGGGTGTGCGCCGTTCTGCTGGACATTTGGATTGTATTGACTGGACACTGGAGGTGGAGGCATACCGGCAGCAGAGGAGACCGGTGATTTCATCATACCTGCAGTGAGTAACACACATGATGTTTAGCGTATATTTATGGTTTTTACTGTATCATTCCAGATCTTTAGATGTAGTATATTCAGACAAAGCAAGGCTTGTCAAAGCATCTAAACATGACTCTTAAAGGAATGCTACACTACAAGTGTGTAGTTTGCCTGAAATGGTTGATCCAAACAGAAACCTGGTTCCAATGCTGACCACTGTCAACTGTGGGTGCAGTGGATCTCCATGTTGTTGTCAAGAAAGCATTACTGTTTCTTTGATGTTGTCTTGACTTTCTTTTCTAAAGACCTAAGTGTGTCAGTAGTTCTCCTGAGAGTTTAGGGACTTTACAAATGTGTTTGCACTTCAATCACACGGAGTTGGCTTCGGTATGCTGTGACATTTACAATAAGAACCAATAAAGTTACTTTATCTTTGCTTGTGCTGCCGGTACATAACATGCATGCAATCACAGCAGTATAGCACATGAATTATTAATGGCCCGATACACTCCACGACAGATAAAACCTGATGACAAACAAACGGCACAACACAAAACACCCTCAGCTGCAAACTAAGCCATGTACAATATAATAGACAATAACAGCAGATTATTGAAAATATTCCTTTCAGCCCAAAACAGCAAACTTAATTTCTGGATGGTGAACTTCTGTTGTTGTTATGGAAAGAAAGAACTGATATAATTCGAGAATGAATAAGTTGATCTTGCTAGGTGGCAAGATTGAACTTGCTAAATGAAAGCCTAACAACCATGTTATTTGAGAAACAATCCAAATACAAGAGTATTTTACCTGTTGGTGGAGCCGAAAATGCCTGAGGCGGTCCCCCATAGTGCCCGTACAGGGGCTGTGCAGGACCAGTTCCAAATCCACCTTGGTAGCCCCCCATCCCTGGCTGGGCCTGGGAGTACGGGGGTGCAGCAACATAACCCTGTTGACTCATGTTGATGGGATGATTGTTACTGTATTCTCATGCCAAGATGAAAACGTCTTTACAACCTGTTGAAAGTTGAAAGAGTGAAATTGAAGTGAAGGTTAGCACGATGTATACATGTACTTAATTCTGACAGTCAAATCTTATAATTAAGATTTTTTTTTACTTAAGTTAGGTACTTTTTGTCTTTATTTTGTCTCCACCCTCCTAAATCTATTTCTTTTGTAAATCTAGCATGTTTACAAAGCCCCACCAACAACAACAACTGATATTTGACCTCATGCAATCATCCACACTGCTGTCAAATGGACTTTTGACATTGCTTCTTGAGAGATAAGGCCTATCCTTGCTTGCTAATAGTATCTTCAACATGACTTTGTTATGCTCTTAAAAAGAAGTTCAATCCATTGACAGTTAATGAGTTAATATGCAGTGTTGCAACAATAACCATTTTTGCTATTTGAATACCTATATAGGCCATTTTAAAACACTCAACAGCCAAATGCACCTTTACACTTGTGTTAAGTGTTTGGCCTACAGGCTGTCAGGGAGTTTTGCTATCAACTGCAGTAAATGAAAGTTATAAAAGCAATGGGCCTGTAGACTTATTCAGGGTGTCAAAGCTTTTGACTTTCAACTTCGGCACAGCTGGGTCAACAAAAGTAACAGCTGCGTACTTACAACTGAACGAAAGCCCTCTATTACCGCATATAAATCAATTTAACACATCAAACCTACAGAAGAAGCTTAAAGTAAAATAAATAACCGTGGTTAATTGTTCAGCTCATGCATCTGCCACTTCCGAGAATTGCCACGTCAAAGACCGTTATGATGGCTAGAGATCTGAGCATCCCTGCCGTCCTTAAATCCACATCCAACTGGACGGACACACACGTTGTTCGTCTTTGTAGTACAATATTTTGGCTATAACATAGAGCTGAACGCCTTATCGAAAGTGTCCTAACATGACAGCACAGCACCTCATTCACTGTTGATGACACATTGATAGAAAACATCTTGCTAGCTACGCGGAAATTACTACAAAGTTTTCCTCTGCACCAGAAGCGCATTCGTTTCAAACACAATTACCGTCAAATAAAGACTTACATGAGACAGAAGTACTCATTTGTATTGGCTACGTGTGTAAATGTTATCGTAGTGGTATTTACCTGAATACTGGGCAGAGTCCTCTTCGCTGTGTATTGCCCTCAGTGGAAGCAGAGTGCCACGTCAAACTCCACTACAGCGCCGGTCGCTGTGTTGGCTACGCGACGACAAATCACGGGTGTCGACACGGAGGAAAATACACTGTTTCCGCTTATGCAATTCAAAATAAAATTGTTAATGGTGAATAAACGTTCTTATACGATATAAATGACGCAAACACAATACCTGTTGTTAAACATCACCCTTTTCACAACTTATTAAAACAAATTTGATGCTCTGTACAGCCAAGTATTTGTTTTAAAATGTCCCACTGTGCTTTTATGTTGTTGGGTGAACAGCTGAACTTCTGGCTTTCGTCGATGTGCTTTTAGCTAACTTGACAGGGCTGAGTCTGTCTGGCGCTGTGCGCATGCGTGAAAGAGAGGGGACCCATACACGTCAGCACAGGGATGTGGACCTGTGCCGTCCTTATAATGCATGCGTTTCAACATAATCTGCACACTGAGCATAAAAGCTTACACTCTTATGATAAAAATACATCCCAACGAGACTACATTTTTGCATAGCCTAATAGAATGTAGTATATGGATGAGCACAAGAGAAGGAAATGAAACAGATGCCCTTAAATGTACTACAGGCGTATAGCTTTTAAAGTTTAATGGCCACACAACCTATATGCCTTTATATGTGTAATGAACAGGGATGTAGGCTGTGTACCACTGAGGTATAGTCCCTGAAAATAAATGATCTTATTTTGCACTCTTTGAGACATAATTAGATCATCCTGTTGTGAGAGGAGCTGTAGGCTGCATGATATATATTTGAACAAAAAACTTACTTACACTCTAAGAACAACAAAACTTCTTAGAGTGATGACTGCATGGGCAATTTAGACTCCAGTCTGTTGAACCATATGGCCCTGACAGTAAAGTGATGTCACATAATAAAAAGCACACGAACTATAGTAGGCTACTTATAAATCCAATCCGTTCATATTATACAAATAACAGCCAGCCTATTTGCTGCAAAAGCCTAAAAATTAGATGGAATTACACTATTACTGGTAATGTATAATATAATATAATATAATGTATAATATAATGTATAATATAATGTATAATATAATGTATAATAGAAATTAAAGACTATGGCTAACATGGTTTAAGATTTCTCCTTTGGAATATTTAGGCTTTTAAGGCTTGTATGACTCTTTTCTGCACAAATTGGATGATAGTACCAAAAGTATCATGTAGTCGTTCTCCATTAGGATGCTATAGCTCGGGGATGTTGGAGAGTAAAACAGTCCATGAGCTCTCCAAGACAAACCACGAGTTGCATGCAACGCCTGCAGGCGGGTCCGTGCGCAGTGACGTTTCTTGAGCGGGCTGGACTCATGGAGAACTCAGATGATGGGGATTATACAGTGGTGTGGTGGAGGTGGTTTCTGCAAAGTGCTGCTGCTCCGGCTGGCAGTTCGATGATCGCGCTGTGGAGGTTTGGCTGAGGAGCTGTGCGCAGCATGGGCACCGGGGATTACATCTGCGTAACGCTGCGGGGTGGTGCGCCCTGGGGATTCACCCTGCGAGAGGGAGAGGGGGACACCTATAGACCTTTCTTAGTCTCCCAGGTATTTATCTATCTATCTGTATGTCTGTCTATCTGTCTTTGTGTTAGATGTTTTGAATTTTTTTTATATTAAAGTGTTCATTTGAGAGAGAACAGGATTATTCCAGAGTTTTGTTATTATCAGACAGACAGTTTAATGAACCTTTTATTAATCTTATTGCAGAGATCTTATAAATTCTCCAGTTTGCTATAAATGTTTTTAGTTTTTATTGAGTTTTGTCGACTAATTAGTCTATTTGAAAAAAAATATTTGGTAAAATGTTTAACAACCTTAAAACAAACTCTGGCAGGACTGGGAGAGAATTTATTCGGCAGCGGTGCGTGTCGCTGCATTTTTGTGTGCGTTGGCTGTGTTTTGGTGCGAGATTCCTCGGGACCCTTATATGGTCAAGGCCAAGACAGAGAGAGAGAGAAGCGAAGCTGAGAGCAGTGTGATCTGTTATCACTCACAAAGACGTCAGCGAGAAAGCAAAAGCACTTATTCAGACGAGTAACTAACCTGGAGAGTGAAAGGTATGTGCGTTATGCAGGAATATCGATGCAAATTAACAAAAAAGGAAAAAGTTAAAAGAAAGATATGAGCATGCAGATATCACTTTAAAAAGAACATTCAAAAATGACAGGCAGGAGGTCAGGCAAAGTATAACCACTTTGTCTACATAATATTTGTTTAACCAGATAGTGTGGTAATAAACCTTACAGGTAACAATATGTGCCCTATGATGATACTAGGAGTCATTTTGACACACACTGTTGACGTAAATATATTTTTTTACATCACTCAATACTATTAATACAGTAATCTACTTTTACAATTAAAGAGGGTTTGTGTAAGTATATTGATCATAACAAATACATTCAGGTTACATTCAGAGGTTTTACTGCAGGTTGGTTGTCATAAACTTAGTCAATAAAGGCATACATGTAATCATGAAAATGCTCAAAATAAAATGTCAGATTAATGCAGAAGCAGAGACCTCTGTGATGTAAATGTGCATTGAGAGAGGTAAAGCCAGGTGCCTTTACTTTGAAGGGCTGCCGAGGCTCTATATATGGTATAGATGCATGTTCACAAGTACTCAAGCCACACAGATCCCTCATCAACTTGTCCTCCATGCAGTGAAAATGTAAATGTTTTTCTTAAGCTGCATTCCTGCAACATCAAAGTTCCACCAGAAGAAAGCCTCTGAGTGCATTAATAGATCATATTGATGACAGGCTCCTAACTTGTTTCAAACTAATTCTGAAGTACATTTGTGACTCTTATTGTGTTTTTTTTTTTTTTTGTATTTGAATATAATAATTATTTCCACGTTTGTTGGCATGGAATAGTCTCTTGTAATTTAGCAAGTAGATGCACATCCGCTGAGGCTTTAAATTAGCTTATTAACATCTGGTGAGTTGATTCTAAAGACTAAAATAAATCACTTGTCAATTTATTATGGCATTTAGTGAATTGCTTATATCAGAATAAAAACATAAATTAAGAGTTAATTATTTTATTCCTTAATACTCAGGCATCTGTTGACGATGTTTTCATAAGTTTTAATAAAATATATGAACAAAATGACAAAAAGACAAAATCACAAATGTAGGTTACAGATGACTTCAAGATTAAATCAGATTTTTTACATGAACTAATTGCCGTAGATTTGCAGCAACCCCCTAAGCCTGTTAATCATCATTTGTACAAATACCCCACAATGTTGTGTCTAGCATGAGCCAACATAACCATTACAAACTGCTATGCCAAAAATTAGCAGCAACAACAAAGTTTAGAAAGCGAAACAACTGTGCAAGTCTGTGTCCTTCTCCCCATAAGGGGGAGTGCCTCCTACCTCTTGTTCCAGTTTAAATGTTCTCTTGAATTAACTGTCAAATGTTAAATAAATTCACAGGAGTTGAATAACACAAGAGTTCTCATGTGTTACATAAGATACTTGTGATTCATTGCATTTAAGTGTATTTCAGTGAAGTAGCTAAATATGCCTCTAGGACAGGGGTTCTAGTCCACCTCATCTGGAAGGCATAACTCTAAACATACCCCAAACTTTTCTTGTAGGAAGGACAGTGAGCCAAGTTTGTCGGTTAAAAGTAAAAAAAAAAGCAAAAATACCAAGATCATGACAAATACTCTTAACCTAGAAGCTCTCCTGTGTCTGATAAAATGTGGGTGTTTTTTAAAGCTTCTGTTGAATGTAGTGGAAACTGTTTCTTGAGCGAGAGAGATTGTTCAGTGTACTGACAGGCAGTACAGTGTAAGGGCACGGGGTATCCACTCTTAAAAGGTTCTTTCCATATAAGGGAGGGCAGTATTTTTCTTCTCATTTGGAGTCCTGGACTGAGTACAAAGTTGATGAGGTCACTTTATTTTTAAAGCTACAGAAACTGCATAATACAAAACTGTCTTGACCCAAGAAACAGTTAACATCTGATCTATGGTGATAGTGGGATGCTTGTTTTGGATGTGTTGGCAAACATACTCAGATATTCAAGAAAATAAATTGTTTATATTCTACCAACATGCACAGGAGACATTTTGGCCTGCTAATTACTAAGGTATGCCATCTTGGTATGTGGAATGTCAACATGCATCAGATCAGTTATGGAGCACTGAATGACAAAAAAAAAAGAAAAGTAATCTTAATTCAAGTCTGAGACTTTTCAGAATCTCATAAGAACCAATCCAAATGTTATCCCCATTCCATTTAATTGTAGTCATAGTTTGAATTAGAGGTCTTCTTTGCCTGGGTTATCTTGCCCTTTTCAGTGCAAAGAGGGCTCATGTTGCCAACGATTCAGTCCTAATTGTGCACCATAGGAACCTTATTAGGCTGCCAAACAATCAGCAAAATGCGGTTACTGCATTCATTCAGTGTCGTTTTCCCGGAGTAAACAAAGTGCTTCACAGCTCCTTCCATCACTAGAGTTTTTGGCATTGGGTTTTTCAGCAAAACATCTACATTCTGGTCCTGGAAGAAAGCAGTGACCTCAGATGATGACTGTGCTATTTTTTTCCGTTTTTCTATTTCACGTCATCTGAACAAATTAGGGCCAACGCTCCTAGAGATTTATATTTTGATGACATAGTTATGAGTTGCAGTGTTCCTGGCTGTGAATGCTCCTGACAGCGCCACCCAAAGTGAGGCCCAGTTTAATGGCATTCATTGGATTGTGAAAAAAGGACCATGTATAGTAATAATGTTTGTATATTTGTCCAAATAGGCATTTCAATTGTAATCCATCTTTAAACACATTTTAACATATTAAATCCATGTGATGGTTATAGTGACATTTGGGCAAAGTCATCTTAGTTCAAACTGAACTAAAGAATAAAAAATAGGACAGAAGGCTGTAAAAACACCCTACAATATATGCATAATACCATGCAATGCGTTAGCAGTAAGTTGGAAATTGTTGGCTGGTGGAGGGAATGTTTGTTTGGATCTATGATTGAATTTAGTATCTTTTGTAGTTGAAGTTGTATATGTATTAACTGCATTAGCCCAGGGAATGCGGATAGAAATCCTAAACTACAAAAACTAAACTCTCTAACCCTTGAAATGTTCCCACACCTTTCCTTTAAGACAAAAGGGAATAAATGAGTAAATAAAGACATTAAATGTAACTGTCCTGCCACATGGTGTGAGGGCTACCTGTATATTTTCCTGAAATGTAAAAACATAATTGCTTAAAGCTGCAAAGGGCAGGAACCGCCAGGAGCTATGTGGACACATTATGCAGTCTTGTGTTTCCTGTGATTTTCTGATGTATTTAAGCCTATTAAATAGATAATTTGAAAATGGGCAACCCAGGATAACACATGCATATAATGTTGTCTAATTGTGGCCCCCACGTGTTGTCAGTAGTAAATTGTGGCGCTCAGGGCAATGTGTATTTTTGGAAAGCGCTTTGTTTGAAAAAACTGGCCAACACTGTTTGTTTTATTCCCTTCTGACACCTAGAGAAGCATTTATTTGTTATCCTTTCCTGCACATAAGACTACCTTTTTTTTTTTTCCAAGCAGTGTATGACGAACAGGATTGAGACACTAGGCGGTATATGCCTCTTTTGAACTCTGCCTCACTGTCTGTGTATCTTTTGTGTTGCAAGGAGAGACAACGACAAATGTTTCCCCTCCTTTTTTGGAGCATGAGTGGTTGCTGTGGCGTTCCAGACAAACCATCCTCCCTGTAGTGAGGAGTGAGTCCCAATAGACAGGCACACAGGCTGCCATATACGGCCTGTGTGCACACTGTTAACTCTTAAAAACTCAGAGGGGATTTATCTGAAAGTTACCAGCTCTATAAAGTAACTCATAAAATATTTTTGTATATGTAGCAAAGTAGGCCCATTTTATTGCCTAGGATGTTGCTTATGTTAGACTCAGGCCTATGTGGTCCTGTACTAAATTAGCAGGTAAGGTTCATCATTCTTATATGTTGGAACATATGTTTTGATTAAAGCAAAAACGAGTACAATTTGATTTTGCATCTCCAACAAAAGTCAAAGAGAATCAAAGGTATATACAAAACATTCATCATTTGTAAATATATATATATATATATAGTGATGAATGTTTCATTTGGATGGGTTTTAATATTGTTCTGATGTAGCAAATCTCTAAATCTATGCTCTGCAATTGGTGCAAAAAATTATTTTGTGTTTTGTGTTTCTGGACAAAAATTTGTCTTTCCCCATCCTTATGTTACTTTGACGCAGGGATTCTCTCCTTCTTCCTTTAGTAGTAAAAGATGTGTGTGTGCGCAGCGACCTCTAGTGGCAAGATTTCTTTACTGCAAGTATCTCAAGTCGGATGGATGTCCATGGAGGATGATTCTGCAGGATTTGATTGGCGATCTCAGTTCATATGAAATTCCAAAATGTAAAAGATAATTTCTATAAGGTGTAATATAATAAAAGGGTTTCAGGTAAAAAATTATAACATGATTAATTTTTTTCATGAGGATTTTTAGATATTTCCTTCAATGAAGGAGAACAGAGAACAAGCACATGTGTTGCGCCAGTGATTATGAAGGACTGTTTGGTGTGTTATCCCCATGTGTTCTACTGTATTGTGACATTCTACATTTCCTTCTGTCTTCTGCTGCTTTACCTTTATGACTGTACTATTGTAATAAAAATCCAGCAAGGCACAAGAAAGCAACACAGACTTTCTGTGTGTTGTGCTGTTAAAATAAACATGGAGATGGACAGCCACAGTTTTACAATGCCTGATCTCTGAGCTCTTAGCAGCTCCACAATTTATGTGGCTGCTGCCTGCCAGCAAGGTTTTCTGGGTAACAGCAACTTTAATATCAGAAACCGAGAAGACTGCATTTGTTTAGTGATGGTGTGATGACATAAATCAGCTTGAAGTGTCTTCTGCCAAGGTTGCAGAGGAGCATTAGCATGATCGATGGCAGAATAGCATGGTCATTTACTCATGTTCAGTGTCATCAAAGGTTAACATATTGACTCTGATGTATCATAAATGTAAATTCTTAAATGAATCCTAGAGGAATCAGCCAAGACAAAGATTAAGATACATGACCTCATTATGGTGAATGAATTGAGTTGTGGAGCCTTATCTCCTTTAGTACTTTAAGATTTTTTTTATGGCATTTTTCTTTTATTTGACAGTTGACAGACAAGAAACATGGGGAAGAGAGCGAGAAGGATTATATACAACAAGAATTAAAGTGGAGATGTCATGGTGTCCAAAACAAACTAGTATTGATACATTTTGTAGTGGTTACCAGTCTCAATATATAATTGTAGTTTATTGCAGTTGCACTACATTATAAACCTTCTTTGTAAAGCTGTGTATTTGTAGTATTTGCAATACATCTTAACATATTTCCTGAGAGCGCATCCTCTAATAGCGTGGTACTGAAGTAATCATTTATCCCCCTAGCTGTATAAGTGGCCTTTTGTGCAAAATTTATTGGGTATTTCTTCTTATTAAATCCTCTTATTAATGAACCATTTTATAGTCCTCAAGAACCAATTACAACCGAACAAAACCATCAGTCATTAGTTTAACTGTGTAAAGAGGTGCCCTTTAAATGGATCTGCACAGAGCTGGCCTGCAGCAATAATATGCAGTGCCACAGTTAAAACACAAGGTAGACCTACATCTCTTGAATATCAGTGACAATGATTGTACATTGTAGTGTGAATTGCACAAATTGTTGCTCTGCTCTACAGTGACCTGTTGATATACTTTTATAGTTAATTTACAAATGTTATTGAATTGATTTGAAAAGGCCACTACCCCACCTTCCCTATCCTCATTTGATATCTCTCAAATATTAATGATCCAGTCAGAAAACGTTTTTTCAGCTGATTCACTCAGGATGTACTTCACGTAGGACTTCACAGGGAATTATATTACTCTTTACGCACACACATAATCATCCATTGCCTGGTTTGAATTTAATACACGTCAAAAGAGATAACCAATTAAGCATTCCTAGGAAGCCTCATTATATCTGTAGAGGCCCTCAACATTGCACTTAGCTTAATGTTAGACATAAACCACTGTTATTTACACATGTTTTCTGTTTTGCTTACATTCTAATTATTTGCAGGTTGACTCTTGTTGGATAGTTCTTGTATTTAGGCTCCACTTAGAAGGAGAAGACCTTTCTCATATTCATATTATTCTAAAGAGAATTAATAATGTATTCTTAATCCTTTTTATAGATGAAAAATACTTTGTCCTCTTGCTGTCCCAGATAAAAATGGATTTGTGACACTGACCTGGGTAGAAGTTTCTATATTATGACCTTACTAGCAACTGACAACATTTTAAAGATGATTTATGTTGACTTCCTGTAAATAGCAGCACTGTCATAGCTGGCCTGAGTGTGAAGGTTATAGGACCATTCTCACACTTGGGGCTATGCTGATAACTGACCCGGTATGTGATATAGGTTTCTCCTCTTACTATGATTTTGTTTTCCACAGGTAGAGGAAGGAGGCCGTGCCTTTCTGGCTGGAGTGCAGGAAGGTGACGAGGTGGTGTCACTCAATGGAGAGCCATGTGCCGATCTCACCCTTTTACGAGCCTTTGCGCTCATCGACACATCGATCGACTGTCTACAGCTGCTTGTCAAAAGGTAGTGCCATGTACCACCCAGGAAATTAATGACAGTGAAGTGGTAAATCTGTGAATTGCAGAAAACACAACACACAATGTTTGAAAATGTCTGCACATTCAGTAACAGCACGATAACTGTGTATCATGACAAATGAGCCACGCAGTACTGCAAGTCCTTGGTGTTCACAACAGCAATGCAAAATGATTATGGCACCACTGTATTTGCATTTAGATAGCATGTTGTTTTATGACCTGTGCACTTTTGCATAGTGTCAGGGAACCACTGACTGTCTGTGTATATATGTGCATTCATGTCTGTGTCTGTTAGTGAGTTAATGTGTGTGTCAGCCATGCTGACCTTCCAACCGGCTTGACCAATGTATTACAGATTTGTGTGTCTTGATTGACATGCAGCTGCTCTGCCATTACTCAGTGGGTACTGCCAGCGTGTTTATCAGGTTGACATGTCCTCAAGTATTGCTGCATGCGCCTTAATGTGCCCACATTTAAACTGCAGAAGGATTTATAGTTGTTTTGAAGGCATATTAAAGTTGAATCTTGTTCTTGAATCTAGTTCTTTTCTGATTTAAATTCATGTTATTTGTGGCAGGACAATAAGTACAGTACAGGATTTGTATTAAGATTGTTTCTATGACTGCATGATTGTAGGCTATTGTCTCTGTAGACTTGGAGAGCAGATGACCTCAGCTTATGTCAGCTATTACTTCCTCAACTATCCAATATCTCCATTCCACTGTGGTGATGTATTGCTCATTGAAATGATATGTAGTGTAATGCAAAGTAATTTAATGAGCAAAACATAGACCACTGCATAGACGTTTTGTTTTTGTCTGAAATTCACTTCAAAACCCATTGTTCAAAAAACAAATAATATAAGGGGTAGCAATATCTCTTATTTATGTTAATGATCAACAGTGGCTCTTAAAAAAATAACCTGCACCTCACTCATTCACGTTCTCTCTCCTCTTAAAGATACTGCACTACTCCCCCAGAAGTCTATGAATCAGAAGAGACATACTGTGGTCAGAGGGACTGCTCTGGTGCAGCTTCAGAGAGCACCACCCTCCACATCTTCTCCCCAAAGCACAGGTCCCAAAGCCCAAGGGAGCTCTACATATCTGAATCCCAGGACGAGGCCTACTATGGGGAGTCAGATAGTGACACAATGTTTCCCAAGGGACCCCAGCTGCTTTGCACCCAGCTACATCTACCCTCATCTGGTGAGCAGAGAGGCCAGGAGCCTTTTTTTAAAGAAAATGATGAAGAAGTACGGCGGTGCTTCTCCCCAGGGGACATGGTCGAGCTCCAGGTGTCCCTTTCTGAGCAAACATTGGACGATGTGGGCTGCACCTCTCTTGGGAGTGCTCTTGGGATCCAGGGAGATCTCTCAAACAGAGAAGCCGTTGAGACAATCCACAAAACCACCACAACACACTATGTGCCGTGCTCTGTCAGAGAGCCGCTCGGACAGCACGGAGTGGTGCTCAGCTCTCCTTCGATGCTGGGGCAGGTGGAGGTCATTTTGCAGCAGCCAGCAGCATCAGGAGCAGGGAGGGGCATCCTGAGTGTGGGTGGCCCCAGGGTCAGTGGAAGTGTTGGATCCCAAAGCGAAGGAGAAGAAGGCGGAGGGCACTGTGAGGTAGTTCCTGGATCTTATACTGTCTCATTTGGAATTCCCTCAGAAGAGGCGACTGCAGCAGAAGAGCAGGACTCTGGTTCTGAGGGGGATCAAGACAAACCCAACAAGCATCGGGCAAAACACGCCAGTAAGTACCTATGGACCATTAACTGTGTATTAATTTGTACCCTGGAGTAATCTCTGTCTGCATTCATTCTTTGTGTGTGTGAGTGTATAAGTTCTATTCTATTCTATTCTATCTATTCTTTAAGGAAGAATCTGCAAGCTAATAGGTTAACACTAAATTGCATTTGTCAACAACACATGTGCATTCCAAACCCTGATGTCCAGTGTGTGTACCCCTTAAAATAGCATGTGTGTGTCACTGCAGTTGGAAGAGGGTGCTCCTTCCTTTGAATGGAAGCAGATACATCCGGGTCAAACCTAAATAACAACAGAATCAAAGCGATAGTAGGGGGCATAGTGCAAATAGGATGGTGACAGTCAACAAGTTTTAAATATAATATATATATAAAATTCAAAAAGACATTCATCGTGTGTAGAAAGCCACTACACAATATAAAATACTTTAAACTATCCCTTTGAAGAGGTTTGATCATGAATATGGATACTGAAACGTTCCTCCGAGCTGTGTTGAAGACATAAATATAACACCAGCACGCTGATGATGCCTGCAGAAGTGGTCCTTTGACAGACACAAGCATGTGCTCCCCCAGCCCGTTACCTGATCCTTTCAAACTGAGTGCTTTAACTGAGCTAAAAAAGTGAGTCTGTTGCTCACTCCCGCTGTCCCTCCACCTTCAGGTTAGTCTTGCAGGAATATAAAAAACTAAACCTACATATTATTTTATTACTGACTTGCATTGTTGGATAATTTGAGAGTGGGTTTGTTGTGTGTTGTCTCTTGGTCAAAGTATCAGAAAAATGTAACAGATTTAAGAACAGAAGATTGTAAGTAGACAGCTTTCGAACTTACAGATAAGGACTGGTAAAGACGCTCTGGTCCTGGTGGATTTATTGCATGAAGGCTATCTTTAATCTTTCAGTTCCTATTTCTGGCTACTTTATGGATGCACTGTTTTAATGTGGTTCATTGTCTGTGAACAAATGAGGATATTAGACATGGGTCAGAGAATTTAATAATTGCTTTATGGGTTGATGTTTTATGTTCAACTGAATAACTCATTTAACTTAACCTAACCTAGCTATATGTGGATAATAATTTAGTTTACAGAATATTTGTTGTGTGTTCAAATCAGCTAAACAGTGCATATAGTATTAACCATTTATTAGTCTGTTGTCATTTCTGCTTCAGAACATGGGAGATATTTTTAAAATGTATTTTTTGCAGAAGGTCAGTATCAGTGTAAAGTTACAATATCAAAGGAATTGCTTTGTGCCTTGCTTAACTTTGTTTTAAAACTTGATTTTGTCATCTATCACCATGTTATTTGTGCAAGCTCTATTTTTACTTTTTAGATGAGTGGTGAACCAAAATGGGTAAAATATAATTGTATTTTTCATATTCAGGATGGGCATATTATAAAGAAAATATATAAATAAATTCATAATTTAGAGCTATTTAGTCAATTACATGTCGAATGCGGATACCGCTTGCAAGGACTGCTTTGAAGTGTCCTTAAGTCAGTGATCAAAGAGCTGAAAAGTACAAACCAAAGTATAAACAAAATAGTAACTAATGGAGACACAGGAAATTAAGCTATTTAAGAATTTTTTTTTTTTCCAAAATATACTCTAAACAGATGAAAAAGTTTGAGTTGATCTTTATTCCATTGTATGTTATTAATAACTATAATTTAAGGTGAAATCCACCCAAGAGATTATTTTGATTACCCTGTCAATGGCCCCTGACACTGAACTCTCTCTTTTCCTTCTCAATACAGGGCTCAGGCGTAGCGAGAGTCTCTCTGAGAAGCAGGTGAAAGAGGCCAAGTCCAAATGTAAACGTATTGCTCTCCTTCTTACGGCTGCTCCACCCAACCCCAACAACAAGGGGGTGTTGATGTTCAAGAAACATCGGCAGAGGGCCAAGAAATACACACTTGTGAGCTACGGCACAGGAGAAGACGAACCAGAGTACAGCGACGAAGACGAAGAAAACGAAGACGACAAACAAGAAACCCACACTGTTGAATTTACCCTTCTGGCTCCTAGCGATTCTGACAAGCATTTCCTTACTAATGCCCATAGTAGCAAAGGTGTGCTAACCATCAACTGGGACAAGGGTCTCCTTGAGATTGAAAGGAACCTGAACAACCAAGTAGAGATGGAATGTTTGCCTGAAACCAAGGGAAAGGGTGCCCTAATGTTTGCCCAACGGCGTCAGAGAATGGATGAGATTTCTGCTGAACATGAGGAGCTTAGGAGCCATGGGATGCCAGTGGAAGGAGTGCCGGAGGCTGAAAAGAAGATAGCGGAACACTCCTACATGCAGTCCACAACAGAGGCCCATGCTTACATGGATGTAAATATACACCAACAAAGCCAACAGCAACAACAATACCAGCAATATCAGGAGCAGCAGTACTATGCGCAACAACAGAACTACCAACAACAACAATACCAACAACAGTATCAGCAGCAGCAGTATGAACAACAACATTATCAACAACAGCAAATGTATCAGCAGCAGCAGCAGCAAGAATATCAAGAGCAACAGCAAATGCAGCACTATTCTACAAACATCAATGGCACAGTCCAACATCAAACCAGTGAAATGCAGAGTTCTTTCAACAATCGTACTGCAAAGCCTTTCTCAGCAGAAAACATGGCGGCTACCCCTTATTCTCCCGCAATGAGTGGGACCAATCAAGATTCCGTGGGCCAAGGAGAGCAGATAGCTTCCCGTGATGAGCGCATTTCTACCCCTGCAATTAAGACTGGCCTTTTGATGGATGCAAGGAAAAGAAACACTGGCAAACCTATGTTCACTTTTAAGGAAGCACCAAAAGTATCACCGAGCCCAGTATTGCTAAACCTTCTCAACAGGAGTGATAAGAAATTGGGTTTTGAGTCGGGACCTGAGGAAGACTACCTTAGCCTTGGGGCTGAGGCTTGTAATTTTCTCCAGGCTTCAGTTAAACACAAGATTCCACCACCAGTGGCTCCAAAGCCTGTGATCAATCCCAACTCTCCTCCTTGGTCCCCACAGATAGAAGAGACCAACCAGGACATGCCTCAACAAGCTGAAAATAGTGTATCCACACCTGCTGCAGCCCCCACCACAGAGACTGCCTCTGCTCCTGAACTAGAGCCAACCCCTGCACCTGCCCCTGAGCCTTCCCCCCCTCTTGCCCCTCAGGAGGCTCCTGCCAGCACAACCACAAAGGAACAGCACACATGGACTCCCCCAGAGCCTGAATCTCAACAACAGCCTCTGCAAGTGACAGCTCAAGATGAAAATGGTCATATGAATTCTACCCTGCAGCCTGAGCCTGCTCCTGTGACTAGCTGGGCTGCAGCACAAACACAAGCACAACAGCCACCTACCAATTCTTGGCATCCAGCTCAAGTGCAGCCCCAGGAACCACGTCCAAGTCAGTCCCCAACACAGCCACCTTGGGTGACACGTCAGCCTACTCAGACCCAAGCACAGCCTCAAACCTCGACAAATACTTGGACCCCTCAAATTCAGCCATCTTGGAGTCAGCCTCAAGAGCAGGCACAAGCCCAGACACATGCTCAGCCATCCTGGGCCCAGCCTCAAGAGCAGTTACAGTCTCAGCCACAGGTTCAACCACCCTGGACACACTCTCATGAGCAGCCAAATCTGCAGCAGATGCAACCAACTTGGGTTCAACCTCAAGAACCAATGCAACAGCGGCCCCAGCCCCCATGGGTGCAGCCATCACAAACAGACTCTCAGCATCAACCACCATGGGTGCAACAACCCCAGCAAAATTCCCAAGCACAACCTCCTTGGGTTCAACAGGTTCAGCCAGAATCCCAGCAACAACCACCATGGGTTCAGCAACCACAACAACAGGCTCTACAACAAGCATGGCCACAGGCCCAAGCACAAGGTCAGCCTCAACCACCTTGGGTCTCAGCTCAGCCTCAGCAGCAACAGCAACCCTCAATTAATGTATGGTCTCCATCACAAACTCAAGCCCAGGTTCAGCCACCTTGGATCCAAGCAGCCCAAGCACAACCTCCACCACAGCCCCAAGCCAATTTAAATCCATGGGCGCCAGTACCTACCCAGGCTCAGTCCCAACCATCATGGGCCCAGCACCCTTCAGAACATGGTCAGCCCCCCATGGGTTCTTGGGCCCAAGAGCAAAATCAGGCCCAACATCAACCACCTTGGGCTCAAACAGTTCCACCCCAGCCCACACCACAGCCAAACTGGCAACAGTCAACTTCAAAGACTCCACCACAGCCACCAATGAATACATGGCCTTCAGCTCAGACACAACCTCAGACACCTGTTAATACCTGGGCACCACAATCACAACAAACACCTGTGAATGTTTCCCCGTCAATGGTTAACACTCTTCCCTCTCCAAAACCTTGGCATCCACCACAAAATGCCCCACAAAGCCGGACCCCTCCACCTCCTCCACAGCGAATGCAGTCTTTTACCATTGGTCAAAGAGCTTCATCACCCATCAACCCAATGGCCACTGTCTTAAACCCATCATCCCAAGGTTCAGCGTTTGAGATGCCAGCAGTCAAAGGGAAAGGAGCTGATATGTTTGCCAAGAGGCAGTCTCGTATGGAGAAGTTTGTTGTGGACTCTGAGACTGTTCAAGCAAACAAGGCCAGTCGGCCAACATCGCCCATTGCTTCCTTACCAAACGAGTGGAAATATACACCCAATGTACGTGCTCCACCTTCACGGGCATATAATCCTATTCAATCCCCTTCTTATCCTCCAGCAGCAACAAAACAACCCCCTCCAAGTAGCCCTTCAACCAAAGCCAAGAAAAAAGGCAAAGGGGAGCAAAAGCCTGCCCCTAAACCCCTCAATGTTATAGATGTTATGAAGCATCAACCTTATCAACTCAGTTCCGCACTCTTTACCTTTGGCCCAGCAGCAGAGGCTGCCAAGCCCCCTGCACCTCAACCCAAATGTCCACCTCCTAACCCTCCTGTTGAAAACCAACCAATTAGATATGAGCAAATGGCCCCCATCCAGCCAGGTGGACCATTTAATGCCCCATACCCCCAGCAATCTTATGGGATGCCCATGCAGCCTATGATGCATGATGGCAACTACCAGCAAAACCCAGCTAATATTTATCCTCCCTCCAACCCTTATCAACAAGCTCCTGGTGGTCCATACCAACAGGCATATAACCAACAGTATCAGCAACCCGCCCCACCTGCTTATCATCCCCAAGCCCCTCAGTCTCCAAACTCTCCCTACCAACAGGCACCTCAAGCCCATTACCAACCAGCCAATAGCCCTCCCTACTTGGCAACTCCCTCAGTACCTTACCAGCCACAGCCTCCCAGTAGCTATGTTGTTCCTAGTTTTCCTGTAGCTGCAAGACCAGAATCTGCATCAGGTGGCAACCCTGTAGCTGCTCCTAAACCTAAATTTACAGCTAAAAAGAGCTCAGCTCAGGTGTGGAAGCCTACAGCAGTTGATAAAGAGTGATTCTGGTAGATTCATGACCTGCTTAGTGTCTGCTTGAGCCAAAGGGTTGGTGCTCTTGTAGTCCACAGCCAAGTGGACTATTTTGAGCATATAAACTTGCTTTTGCAATGACTACTGTCACCTCTACTTGCTCTTGTTATTGTCATAGCACAGAGCTAGATGGTTTTCAGAATTAAGAAAACTAATGTGAATGTCATTACAAATTAAGAACATAAGAATAAGACCCAACTGTAAGTATATTTTATCAGACACAAATGAGTTAAAAAGCATGTGCATTTTGACATGTTCACAAAAAAAGATGCACATGGAAACTTCCACCAAAAATTAATGTAATTTTTTGAGGAAGAATCTAAAGTGGTGGCAATATAAGAATGTAGGGGAGCATGATGTTCAGTAAGAATTGAAAGGAAGGAGTGACAAGAGGAAGTTGATTTTTGGAAAGAGGAAACTAAATGCTAAATGTGGCTAATCTTATTCGATTAACAAACTACTAATATACAATAAAGCTAAATAAAAAAAATTCAATAAATAAAGTAAAAATAAAAGTAAAGTAGTGAGGGGTGGGGTCTGTGGGGTGTAATGATACCAAGCAGAAAGCTAAATTTGCAGTGCCAGTGATGTCATAACTGCAGAGATTATGTCACAACTCTGTGGGGTTTCAAGTAAACACTGGGGGGTACAGCAATACGCCTGACAAAAAGTGACAAAGAACACTGTCACTTGCTTGAACTTCAAGTGTTTGATTCGTGAACAATTTATTCTTCAGTGGCTTTCCCCAGTGTCTTTTCGATAGCACCTACTTAAGTGGGTTAATTTTATTTTAAGCTTTTTACCAGCTGTTGCATCATGTTAGATGCTATATTTAAACTGCCTCATGGGAGGGAGTGCTGAGGTGCAGAGATAGTAGGCTTAAATTTCAACTTAAGCCAATGACCGCAACTATATCTTAGGCCCTCGTAGTATTTTTTCTGATAACAGAAAAATATATAGTATTGCCCAATCTAGTAGTTTCACTCTTCCATGCATCTTTTTCTTTTGTTTTATATGACTAGATGATAAATGATTAACAAAAGATGAATTACTGAAGGGATAACCAGCCTGGTAATGTTCACAAATATATTTTTGGTGCAGGGCTGCTTTTGTTCTTCATTTTCTTTTTCCTTTTCTTTTGTGTGTTTCTCTTCATAGTGCACTTTCTGTATGATTCACTGCAGTGCCATTAAAATGTCTTTTATCCTTGTTTGGCTTTCCTTTCTTTTGTCCTTTAAGCATGCTTTTTTTGGGTTTCTTCTATTTGTAGTCTCTTTTCTTTTCATCTCACTGAATTCAAACCTTTTCTCCACCTGTACTATAAATAATTAATTAAGAATTTCAGCCACAAATCAATCCGTTTCTATGTAATTTACCATCATATTAGACTTAATGTTTGCAGTGGTTCAAAATAAATCAGTTTTTAACAATGAAACAAAATACAATTTGTACTCAATAAAGAGCTTGCTAACATTAGCCAAAAACATCTCATTATCCAAATCAACTACTTTTACAGTAATTGAGGTGAATGCTTGAGAAGCACATTCCTGCAGAATGACATACCTGATGATGCATTTATGAAGGGTATTATTAGATTGGTGACCTCACTGAATACAGGCAAGCTCACTGGATAAATCTGGAGGTCAAGTGAGTGGCCCCCGCTGAAATGTATATCCATGGTGTGTCATGCATTTTCTCAAAGGGCAGTTATTTGTTAAGTGGACATTTTAATATCAAATGTTGTCTTAAGTTGGCAGATTTCTGTAGCTATAGCTGGAGGAATTTGATTCCTAGTCAGAGTTAACCCCCATCGCCTAATTGGTTGATTGCACATGCGCCTTTATATCAACCATACTTGATTTTCAGTGTGCTCTGATGTGCTCTAATTTTCTTTTTCTACATATAGATTAATGTCCAAGATTTTTGCTTTCAAATGTACTTTCTGATGAAAAACCTTATGTAACACTGTATATGTAGACTATTTTGAACACTTGTCTCCAAAAAGAAGCCTGTGCATGCACATTATAATGGACACCAACTCTTAGAACCTGCTCAGGCCCCATTTCTGAGATATATGTTAGGTTCTGCAGAATGACAGCTAGATAATAGACATAAACAATGTGAGGCAAATATATAGTCACTGGGGCAATCTCCTCCATGAAAATATGACCTTAGATTGTCTACTAATCTACTCATACGTTCTTATGTCTGCCTTAATCCAGGATAACGCTGCCACAGGCACTTTAAGGCCTACCAGATACCTGAGTCAGCAGATAATTTATTCCCCCTTGACTCATTGAGCTACATTTTTTTTTATTACTGCACTCTCCTCTATTCTGTGCTTTCATTTTTGCTAGTTCTTCCCATCTGCTGATCTTACCCATCTTTCACCAGATGATGGCAGCACTGCCTTTTCTGCATGTCTGTAATGTCAGAGTCAATGAATGGTACAGAGGTGCTTTGTCACCCCACATGACCCATGGCTGTCTAGGCACCCTAATGGAGATTTTAGTATTGAGCATTTAGCAGTTTCACCGTCATACTTTCAATGTGTTGCTGTCTAGTAAAGCAGATCGAATGATAACAAGCTGAATATGGCTTACTGTGGGAAGCCCAGGCACTCTCATAAACCAGTTGTTCTAAGAAATAAAATGGCAGTTCACTCAGTTTGTACAAATGCTAAAGCACTGGGTTGAGGAGGCTAATACAATAAGTTGAAAAGAAAATGTTTAATAGAGCTTTAACGATAGTTAATTTTTCTGACTGTTTCATGGTTTTATATAAAGAATAAAACAAACAACTATTTTTAACATGAAATACAACATTAGAGAATTACAGTACTTAAAAGAAATGTGTTAACAAAGAGCTACTCTATCTTCCAACATTTTCCAAGCTGATTTGATTTGGCCAGATGGCTAGTCAGCCAAACAAAAATGAGCCCTTACTAAAATAAATATGTCTGGATCTTTCTTTACAGGCACTTGGCAGGAGTTACTCCCTCTCCCCACCAGCCAGAGTACCATCCACGGGCCAGAAGTCAGCTTCGGCTTCTTCCTCCCCAAAGCCTCCGGCTCAGGGCTTCTCATCTCCCCTAGCAAGGCAGACCTCCTGGCTGGAGAAGGGCCACAAACCCCCTACGCCCTGGGAGGCTGCCTCCCGGCATCCCATGGGCCTGGTGGATGAAGCATTTGCTTTCCAGAACCTCCAGCAAACCCTCGCCTCAAACGTCCGCCTGGCAGCCCAGCGCAAAATGCTGCCCGAGCCCCCAGCAGAGTGGAAGGCCAAGGTTTCTTACCAAGCCCCACAGAAAACAGGCAGCCACACCTGGAGTCAGAGCCAAAGCCGCAGTCATAGTCGACCTCCACTGCCATCATTTGTGTCCCCAACACGGAGCATTGTCTCCACTCCTGCCAGTCATGCTGGTTACAGGTCTCTACCCAGACAGTGGCAGCCTCAGAGGTCTGTGGCAGAGGCAAATCTGGGCCCCTCAGTTTCCTACTCTGACCACAAGAGGCCCATGGGGAAGCAAACTTACAAGTCTGTGTACACCAGCAACACTTGGAGTTGGAAGCGGTAGGATACAAGTCAACCTTAAATGAGTAAAATCCTATTACTTACTGATTTTATAACAGATTCATGTGAAGTTAGAGCATTTCCTATAACAATAACAACAATATAGTGTGTGAGGAGAGTGAGCTAATGTATGATGAAGTGGACATTCGGAAAGATTGCTGGATTTCCCCTGGTTTTGACATGCTAACAGCGCTTTAAAAAAACGCTTTGTACTTTTTGATGTTGAATCTTTAATATAAAATATTTTAGATGAAATCTTTGCATGCCATTATCAAATGTGAAAAGAGATGATTACTTTAACAATGTAGCGAGACTTAAACATTATCCCATTAACATTTAACTGACAACTTTAATACACTGAAGTGGGCCTGTAGTTCATTAAATGAGGCAATGATGTATGTTGTTTAGAATGGATATAATAGATCTGAATGGACATGTTTAGTACAAAATAAGTGGAGAGATTTGAGGGATTGTATAGTAACCGTATATCGGGAGATAACTATAAATGTTGACTGTTCAGTGAACCTTTCAGAATATACAAAATAGGTGATTATGGGGTCCTGAGGAAAGAGATATATGAGGATGCTGAAAGAGAGAAAGAAGCAGTGACCTACCCATCATATAGTATATAAGTTGCTTTACCTCTTGAATTGTTGTCAGCTTGTGGACTGAGTTTCTGTTCATACTTTTTTAATTTTCTGCTGTGAATATATGTATCTAGCATGCTGGTTCTTGCAGTGATGGTGCACTTATTTTTGGATGGTTTTGTTTGATTTTTAATCCGTGAAACTTGAGTGTGGTGGAGAACTCATTTCACTGTCAGAATACAATTAGAGATGCATTAGAAGTGAGGCTTAAAACTTGGGGAAAGGTTAGTGCTATAACTCAGCATGTTGTGGGCGGACATGTCGTTATGTAAGCTCTAATAAGTGAGATTAATTCACGTATTTACCAGGTGCATTTTAATTAGTGCATTAGCATGTGTCCATTAACTACTCAGAGAGAGGGAGAAGATGAAAAGCAGAAACTGGGACATCTTTTCCCCGTTATAGTTTTCCAAGACTTTTTCTTTGGGAATCTGGAATGATTTTTCACATTGCAGCACACAGTATGTAGATGGACAATGTTTGTTTTTTTGTTTGGGGTAAAAGGTAACTTGAGGAATGTTGATAAGTCCTAATTATGGCTACAAGAAAGATTGTTTTAGTTTATGATAGGTTTACTGACACTGGGAGAATTGCTTACAGTATGTAATGGGTTTGTGGCTTGTGCTCGGTTTGGGATTATGCTATAAACTTATAATCATCTCCAAAGATAAAAGCAATGTTGGTGTTTCCACAGAGTGTACATAATGTCCTAATGTGATTCTCACCAAGCAGTCTCATAAACATAAATAAGATTTATCACACAGCATTGTGTTGTGTCTCAGCTGCCTCACGGAGCATCATACAATAGTGTATCTGTGATAATTACACTGTATTGCTTATTATGGTCATAACACAATACCAGTAATCAATTTCTGTTTCAAACTAATTCAGATATAGATTCAAATAAAGCGTAAATGAAAATAAATACAGACAAATAGCACTATTTTACAAATTGCACTGTGTTTTTGTGCTCTTTGCTGTGTTCCAAGCATGAAATACTTGGCTGTGGGCCATTTGTTGCTTGCTGTACCATCCCATGAAGCTTTTTGTATGATGTGTTGTCTGGAATAGTCACTCGCTTTGTATCCAGGGGAGGGGTTGGTGGGGACTTGTTCCCATGGTGACCACCAGTTACATAATAACAGTGGGTACCTACTGTAGCTTAACCATTAGAGAATGAGAGATAAGGACACAGAGGGAGATGATAAACATAAATTATTTCTATACCAATTTAGATTTTGAAAATACTGGGCGGGATTCAAATGCTATTAAAAAGGTGGAGCTTGACTCAAAGTATGAACAAGCATTAAACACAACACACACCTTTAAAATATTTCATTTTGTGTATGGGGTTCCTGGCATAGTTTTTTATATACCAGGCATTACAGTATGTCAATAAACTTGCTGCTTTTAACATCCAACCTTATGCTTTCCTGCCCTGCTTGGTTCTGCAAACTCAACCTGTCTTTCTTTATTAGTCTCCTTTACCAAGTTAAGAAATATATAGATGGCAAATTTAACTTTGCAAGGTCAATTAAAACATACTGACTGGATTAGAAGGTGAGTGAACCCTGTTAGGCCTTGCTCCCTCCTATATAACATGATGGCATTTAAAACAAATAGTATTTGATTGTTCTGCAGGCCCTGAGGGAGCCATGTTCCCACGCTGGATGTCACTGAGTATATTTATTGTTGGCTGTGCACTGCAATTCTTGAGTGCAGATAAAGAGAATTACAGCTGACACAACTTTATTTTAGTTGTTAAAGCTTTGTCAGGGTTTTCTGAGACAGTTTTCATCCCTTTGGTGCTTTACAATTCATGTATATTTTTAGTGTTGCAAGATTGCAACAGATGATTTATAATTGTATAGGTGAGTCATTTATAGACCAGTGGCTCCCAACCAAGTCCCTTCATTAACAACACCCATCATGTTCCAAATATGACAATTTCCACTGATTTTCAACTTGATATTATTTAACTATATTTGGTAATGATAGACATGTTGATATAATAATGGATCAATATTTTTTGTATACAAATGATGTAATATTTAGGTTTCACTGCCACTTGAACTGGCAAAAGATGGATGTTTCAACCATTTGTGCATTACTATTACCACTATAGCCATTTATCAGTTCCTTTTTAACTAACTATTATAACTTGTTATCCATTAGTTTTAGCTTTTGAACCATTTTCCTAAGTCTATTCCAGCTATATCCTTTTAGCTTTTTTTCTATTATATTCATCCAACGGTTACTTTTATGAATTAGAACCACATATCCATTTTTTTTTAGCGATTTCAATCATTTACGCATTATTTTTAAATAACAATTTCAATCATTTCTCTATCACTTTAAGTTATTTCAACCATTTATCACTTACTTTTAGCAAACTGCTTATCCATTACTTTTAACTATCCATTCCAACTGTTTATATTTTAAGCTATCTATATCTCTATTTCCATTAACTTACTTTTAACCTACTTCAACTATTTATCCATTAAGTCTACTCCAACTATATATTTTTTCAACCATTAATCTAACTTTTATAAATTAGAACCATATATCCATTTCAGCCATTTCTCTTTAACTATTTCAACCTTGTATCCCCTGCTTTTAACTCTTGTAACTTATTCATTTTAAGCTATAAATTCTATAAATTCATCTGTTTCAAGTTTAAGCTATGTCAACTGTTTATGTTTTTAGTCATGTATTTCAACCATTTATATATTAACTGTTTCTGCTGAGAGAGAGAGAGAGA